CAATACTGGCATATGAGAAGTTTAATACAGCTGAAAATAAGTCAAATTTGCTTTTTAGATAACTGAAGCCACCAATTTAATGTTATTCTAGTGATATTAAGACTCCCTGCATGTTTAAAATCCACTCTTTACTGCATTCAATCATCTTTAAAGCTCCAGTAAAAGGGCTAAAGGAACAATCAATCAATGCAAATTGAAAATGGTTTACTCACCAACATATTCTCCCAAGCCTCTTTTCTTTTATCTTGTCATGGAATACAAAAGAAGAAATTCTGAAGAATGAACACACCTACAGTACATTACATACAAACTGTTCACTGTTAAACGTTTAACCATTTGTTAATCATTTGGACAATTTACCCATATTATTTAATGATTTGTATTTGTTCTGTTTTCGAACAAAAAAAAACGTGTGTTTAAAAACGTGTTTGTGCATTACAGATAAGAATATCATTGAAAAAACAAACAAAAGTTACCTTAAATTGTAGCACTGAAACGTGTTTTTGTTTAATACAAATGGCAATCAACAAATAAAAAACCTTGTTTACTATATTAAACCATGCACTGTAAAAAATGCTAAGTTCCACACAATTAATATGTGTTAGGCCAACCTGAAAGAATTAAGTTAACTCATTAGTTTTTACAAATTTATGTGGATTAAACATAAAATTAAGCTGTCCCAAAAAAAGAAAAACCTCAATAATTGTGTTGCTTCAACTCATTTTAAACATGTAGTCTGAACAAACAGCAAATGTCATTTTGTTAATTGTGGTTAATTTTCTTTAAGCTAGGTTTATGTGTATGGGCACGAAATGTTGACCCAGTAACCAGTGGTGTCACATGCTGTAATGTTCACTCTGGCTCTTTTCCTCTTCAGATAATCTTTCCTGTATAGGAAATACACTTGATGACGGTGTTGTTTATCTTTGCAACTGCCATTACAGCAAGTGCACAAGAGAAACATCTGGTACTGTCCATCGAACAGCCCTACAGAACAAACTAGAATTCATGAATGATCCTGATCATATACCTAAAATCAACTTGCCGATTTAACGGCTCAATTTCTGTATAATCAAGACAGATCGGAAATAGGAAATTCCTTCCCTATCGTTTAATTATGACAGCTGACAGACACAATGCTATCTGGTCCTCTCTTCCTTACGTAATGCCCCGTGTCTCTTTACCCCTTCCTCTCTCTAAAACACACATGGTCTCTTGAGTGAATACTGATCTGAAAGCATTCTTCCAATTTCTCTCTCACACTCTGTCACGTTTTATCTCTTCTGACACACTATCTCTTTGTGACTGCAACCAGACAACAGAAGTGAAGGTGCAGGAAAGAAAAGCCAGATAAAAGCTGTTTATTTACTGACAGTAATCCCCATTCAGAGCATTTTGTCCTTTTCGCCAAATTGTTCACAGTGTAATACACTCCAGTGATCACATAAATAACACAACTTTTAAACTTCTCCGCACATTTTCAGTTGAAATCAGAAGTTTACATACACCATATAAAAGGCACATAATTATATATGTTTTTAAATGCCAGATGTTAAATTTGACTAAACTTTTTCTCTTTTAGGTAAATTTGGATTATCAAAAAACTTTTTTATTTGCTTAATAGCAAAATTTTGAGAGAGAAAGCTTTTGAGAATTGTTTAGAACTTTGTTTAGAAGTCAAAAGTTTACATACAAGAAAATGACCATGCCTTTGAAAAAGCCCAGATGATGCTGTCAATGTTTTGGATGTTTCTGTTTGTCTAATCGGCTTGTTAAGTGGTGACGTGTTTGTGACGTATGTAATACTGTTTCCGGGTCCAAGCCGCCATTCATTTGAGTGGAGAAATCATTCGTTTATGATCACGTTTTATTCCTATCACACATTAAAGTTAATTTTATATAAAATCATCGTGTACACAACAATTTCTGGCCTTGCTGCATAACAAATACCAAAATTTTACAATTTATAAAACAATGAATCACTTTTTGGTCATCGGATATTAGGCATGGACATACATACTGCGATCATGTATTTCGAAAGCCTTAAATCACTTTGTAAACGTTTATTATTACCATTTCATGAGTTTCCCCATTCAGTTGAATAGAGCGCTTGGACTCGGAAGCCGCTTCGCGTGACGTCACACTTAACAAGCGGATTGACAACATTCGAGTTAATTGGAGACACAACTGTAAACTGGTATTTAAGGTATTTAAGGAAAACCTCAAACACACTGCTTCCTTGTGTGAAAACATGGGGAAATCAAAAGAAATCTGCCAAGATATCAGAAAGTGAATTGTGGACCTCCACAAGTCTGATTCTTCTTTGGGTACAATTTCTAGATGCCTAATGGTGCCATGATCATTGGTTCAAACAATTATACGCAAGTATAAACAACATGGGAATGTCCAGCCATCATACCGCTCAGGAAGGAGAAAGATTCTGTTTCGCCAAAGACTTTAAACCGTGTCTCATTTCAGAGGCTGTATCCTCCGAAGGATGGATGAAATTTGTTCACTGTAACTTGTTTGTAACTTATTATAAGCAATCTGAAGGCAAATCAAGGTATACAGAAGCTGGAAAAAAAATTTTTTTGATCCATACATGTACACATAAACATGTAAACTGTCTATAAAATCCCTCTTTAGTTAGACATGTCATACTGTTTTTGTTTTTTAACATTGAGATATCAAAGTAAAAAAAAAACTGAATTCATACATTTCATCCAGAGTTTTCTTTTAAAAACGTCCTGCCATAATCAGTGCGCAATTAATTTTGGGACGTTCAAGGCCATGAAGGATCATGTATGAAGTTGATGAAGTTGAAATGAAGGCAATGAAGTTGTGTCCTTCATTATCGGGGAAACGAAGGACGTATTTTGAGGCTGCGTTTGAAGGAGCCTTTCGAAATTTTTTTAAACGACACAGCCTTCATCGTGCCGCGATGCCGCAGCGCACTTCACATGCATCTTTCGGAAGATGCAGCCTCTGAAATGAGACACAGCTATAGAATACACAAGACGTGTCACTCGTATACTTTTGAATGGGGAAAAGTGTAAATGTCAATATGGCAAACGAAGCCACGCCATCTAGTGCAGGAGCCGATTAGTGATTGCTATATGGCAAATAAAACCTATCTTCCAGTACAGGAGCCAATTAGTGATTGCTTTATGGCGAATAAAACCTGCCTTCTAGCACAGGAGCCAGTCAGCGATCACTATAGAATGACAATTTTCCGGGGGAGGGATTAGGACCAGACGCGAGTTTCTGCAGATTTTGTGTGATACGAACATTTAGAAACAAAACTAAATAGACAGATGTTGTTTCATTTTATTATTTATTTGTAATATGAAATGTAATTGTAAACTTGGCAAGTAGTTTTGGAGAATTTGATGTTTCCCCATTCAAACAGAATGCCTGAGCATACTGCCCGATAGGTGTTTCAAAGATGGCCGCCGAGAATTGAAATGATTTGCCTTAAAGCAGGGGTGTCCTGGAGAGTTTAGCTCCAACCCTAATCAAACACACCTGAACCAGCTAATCAAGCTCTTACTGGGTGTACTAGAAGGTCTCCAGGCTGGTATGTTGAAGCAAGTTGGAAACTAAAGTCAGCAGGACACCGGCCCTCCAGGACCGACTTTGGACACCCCTTCCCTAAAGGGACTTTGGTTTCGCAGAGTTGAACGTGCTATGGTGCGAACTGTGTGTATCAACCCCAGAACAAAAGCAAAAGACTCTGACTGCAGCTGGTAAGAGATTCATTATCCACAGTGAAATGAGTCCTGTACCGACATAGGCTGAAAGGCCACTCGGCAAAAAAGAATCCATTACTCCAAAAGCACCATAAAACAAGCCAGATTACAATTTGTAAAATCACACTGGGGAAAAGACTTTACTTTTACATGTTCTGTGGATGGAACTAAATTTGAACTGTTTGGCCATAAAAACCAGCTTTGCATTTGGAGGACAAAGGGGGAAGCTTACAAGCCTAGGAACACTATTCCAACTGTGAAGTTAGTGCATCATGGTGTGGGGCTGTTTTGCTTCATGAGGGACTGGTTCACTTCACGTCAGATGGCATCAGGAAGAAAGAACATCATGTAGAAATATTGAAGCAACATCTCCAGACGTCAGCCAGGAAATTAAAGCTTGGCCACAGATGGGTTTTCCAAACGGACCATGACCCTAGGCATACTGCCAAATTAGTTAAAATGTGCTTTGAGGACAACAAAGTAAATGTTTTGGAGTGGCCATCACAAAGCCCTGATGTAATTCCTATAGAAAATTTGTGGGCAGAGCTGAAAAAGAGTGTGCAAGACAGCCTACAAATCTGACTCAGTTACACCAGTTCTCTCAGGAGGAATGGGCTAAAATTCAAGCAAACTATTGTGAGAAGCTTGTGGAAGGATACCCAAAACGTTTCCCCCAAGTTATACAATTTAAAGGCAAAGCTAAAAAATACTAAGGAAATGTATGTAAACTTTTGACTATCGAGAAATTTATGAAAAAATCCCAAAATAAAAAATGATCTCGGTATTCTGGCATTTGGCAAAAGTAAATCATTTTGTTAAAATAGTAATAATCACCTAAAATAGTATATGACTAGTATGATTTAACATCAGACATTTAAAAGAATGGTTATGTGCCTATGTTTAGAGTGTATGTAAACTTCTGGTTTCAACTGTATGCTTGATTGTATATATAATGTTTAATCTTTAGTATATATTATTAATTTACTTCAAAATGACTATAAACAAGTTAATGTGTAAAAGATACCCTTTGGAAAAAATTTGCTCACTTGAAAAACTCTTCTCATCATTATTATTGTTATTATTATTAGGATCTTTTTTAAGATACTGTGCTAATTTAAATAAAATGTCATTAAATATTCTTTATAAAATCTCTACTGTTCAGTCCAATACTGCATCACTTCAGAGTTCAGATCTTGCCTTCTTGCGGAGCACAATCCCATTGTGTATGGAATAACCAGATCAACTCTGTCATTTCTGTACATAAGGTGTCATTTACTGTAGCGTCTTTACTGGACATGGACACATCTATCTTTGACCTTTCATTTTGAAGGTTCTCTGAGGAAATTGCTAGAGATATCCAGATTGCTGATCTTGTACAGCTAAAAAATGACTAAGCTGGCACTTTGTTCATTAAACAGTCTCACTATGACGGTCCAGCAGTCGGTTTGTTCAGGAACTCCTGGATCTCTCTGTTCAGCTGCTGATTGCGTGTGAGAGCTTCATCCCTGCTGCGCTCTGCATTGCGCAGTAAGATCTCTAATGCAGATTTAGAGCGCCGCTCAGCCTCTAGTGCTGCCTGCAACTCTGCCACTGTAGCACTCAGCTCTTTGTTCTTCTGCTGGAGACTGAAGGCAGAAAAATGTATTAACAGACATGTCTGCAATTTTTTTGCCATAATTTTATTTTCAACCAGGATGCATTCAATTGGTCAAAAGTAGCAGAAAATACATTTATAAGATTTTCAGTTTTTCCTGTAATTCTTTTAAATGTTCTATTCTTTAAAGAATCCTAAAAAAAACGAAACCATCAAAACTGATAATAATACATGTTTCAAGAGTTCACACTCAGCTGATGATTGATTATAAAGTGTGTTTGACATGTTCTCATAAGATCCTCGAGCCCAGGGCTCCCTCCTGTTTGCAGGGTGAGAGGGGAGTTCAAGCTCAGGTAGGTCCCAAGAACTGCCCTTCGGTCGCAATCTAGTGTGCAATTAGGGATTAAAGACATTACTAATTCCTAGGAGTGCCGATTGGATTAGTCAGTTAACTAAAGTTGTATGTTTCTGGATAGTGAGAGGAAACTAGGGCACCCGAGGGAAACCCACGCAAGCATAGGGAGAACGTGTACTCCGAACAGAAACGTTGATTGGCCTGGTAAGCACTAGAACCATTGACATTCTTGGTGTGGGGCAACAGTGCAAACCACTGGGCCGCCATGCCAACCATCTAGGAAAGGACTCTTCAAAACGAAAAGGGCTATGTTTTGGAACTTAGGTTATTTATGGAGACTTAGGAATCGTCTGATTGGTGAATCCTAAATTGATTAATGCGGGACCGGCCATGAGCAATCATAAGCATGTGATCCTCTCGAAATTAGTTATAAAAAATAAACTTCACTTCTTGAGCAGAAATTAACAAATGAACTGATTTTTTTTCACAGTTTGTCATTAGTGTCATTGCGTAAAATTTGTTATTTTGTGTAAAATTGGTGTAATCTGTTGTTTTATCATAAATTATACATACTTAGTCATACTTTTTTGCTCTTAATTTTGCTTTTGAAATAAAGATTAGTAAGGCTGTAATGCACCTTGAAACCAGTTGGCAAAATAATAGTTTATTCATTAATTTCATTTATTGACTTTCCTTTAGCTTAGTCCCTTTATTTATCAGGGGTCGCCACAATGAACGACTATCTTATCCAGCATATGTTTTACACCGCGGATGCCCTTCCATTTGCAACCCAGTACTGGGAAACACCTATACACACTCATTCACACACATACATTTAGTTTATTCAAACCACCTACACTGCATGTCTTTGAACTGTGGTGGAAATCAGAGCACCCAGTGCTAACCCCTTAGCCACCATGTCGCTGTAAATAATATACAATACTTTTAAAAGATCTCTATATGTGTCAGTGGACCACAAAACCTTAAATAGCACAATTATACTTTTAGAAGTAGCCAAAAAACATTGTATGTGTAAAAGTTAGTATTTGTTTTATTACACTAATCAATATTTATATAAAATATTAAGCATACTATTATTAATAAAGTTATTTAGTAAATTTCCTACTGTAAATTTTTCAAAACTTATTTTTTGATTAGTAGTATGCACTGCTTAGAGCAGAGACGAGTCCCTTGGCCTTGAGCAAGGCACCAATCCCCCGAACTGCAGCAATGCTGTCTACTGCTCTATGTGTCTGGGTGTGTGTTCATTATGTATGTGTGTGTGTGTGTGTGTGTGTGTGTGTGTGTGTGTACTTGAGTGGGTTAAATGCAGACCACAAATTCCGAGTATGTGTCACTGTACTAGAACACATGTCACAACTTCCCTTCTTTTTCCTTCCGTAATCTAAGAAAGGAATTTTAACAAAATGTAGATTTCCCCTTTTTTATAAAACTCAATTAAAAAAATTGCAAACATCACTTGTTTTGTGGTACAGGGTCACATACTGTATGGAAAAAAAAAAGGAGAAAAGACTTCTGAAAAAAGCGCTGCTAAAACAGTGGAAGGACCACATAATGTGCACTTTAATGATACTGTTTTCAGCATGTTTAGACATTATAATAAAAAACTGAATGAAGTTTGTATTGTGCAGCCGAGGCCAGTTAATCAGTGTGAAAATATCCATAAATTAGCAGTTTTCTATATTTTTTGATTCATGTATTTATTTTTCCACATTTATTCATGCTTTTAAATTGCATTATGGGAGACTAATCTTTCTTCCAACAACTTTTAACCTTGAAAAGTTTGAAAAAGATTTTCATTTATAAGACATTTACAGTAATATATCGTCTGGGATAGTGTTGTATATTATGAAAGAAAAACCTTGTACTAAACTTCCAGTACATTTTCTGTTATTCTACAGACTAATTTCTCTATATATGATTTCTTATACATTACATTATTCCAAACTGCTGAAATGTCAATAAAAGTCACTTTGTTAAACTGTACAATTGTATTTTCAAGATCAAACATTAATGGAACAGAAATCAAGGTCCCATAATGTACAGCAATTCACAACTGTAAATTGTGATAAACACTTGTGAATCACAAACTTAAGGAAAGTGTTATTTAACAGATAGTTATCACAGTGTAGTGAAAAGCTCTGCAAGTAAACCTCACTCACTCACATTTCAAAAGGTGCTCTATTGACAGACGCTAGAGTAATACGTAATATGTGATAAGTAATATGCAATTGTAACCCACCGGTCCCACAACACATCTACTCGGTCCTAGCTCGGAGCAAGTGGGGGGTGTAGAACTGGCGGGTTACAATGATATATTACAAATTTTCACTTCTGAAAAAAATCGATATTGTTTACAGAGTTAAAAACAAATACAGGTGAATTGACTAGATAATATTTAACCACTTTGCATGTAAAAAAAAAATGTCTGTTTGTTCAAATCCCTGACCCCACTTCTCAATGGAAGGAAAATAATTAGCACTTATATATATTGAGCCATACCTGTTAATGATGCTGGTTGAGTCTGTGTTTTCTGGTTGTACTGCACTGCTTGTCTGTTGAGCTGGATTCTCTTTACTCGAAGCTGCTGGACTCAACACTATTCTTGCCTGGGGTTTGGGCACAGGCGCCGTGTTCTGTGCCTGTGCTTTTGGAGCATCTATCTGTTGGACTACAACATCACTATCTGTCTTACTCCAGTCTGTGTTGTCTTTGTCCTTCTGTCCTTTTTCCTCTTTTTCATTTTCACTCTTCTGCACTTCAGAAAACAGTGTGACTTTCTGCAGGTCGAGGAGCTTAAAGATGTCCTCAGATAATGTTTTTTCATCATTCTCATTAAAGCTCTCAGGGAACCTGCTCCAGCGATCCCAAGCAGGCTCTCGGGCTATTCTTGCTACTGGTGGACAACCTAAACTGGGTAGAGTTTGTGTCCGCTTTCTAGGGCTCTCGGGCCATGTGTCTGTTGTGACCGAAAACTCAGTGGGAGAAAGAGTTGTGCTTTCTGACTCAGATGACCGTAGTTCTTTCCTTTGTTCTTCAGGGGTGTCCACTTCTTCTTCCTCAGGTGATTCAGACAGAGAGGACACCTCACACTGTGAGATATAGAAGAGAGATGCAATCAGATGAAACACACAGATGTGGAAGTAACAAGTGCATGTGCATCTACTCCCAATTTCAATAAAAAATGTGCAGCTATTTTGATCTCTTGAATTTGTGAAATAAATGACAATACATTATACATGATGTATAAATAAAACAATATCATGTAACTGCTTAGATTTTCTGAAGAACACATACAAAATGCTTTAATAAACTTTAAAACATTTATTACTTCTGAGAAGTAGTATTGTTTTCTTTTCTACTACAGCAGTAATGTCTTGACAGTCAAACATTTAATTAACAAAAGGTTTCTATTACAATCAAATTTCTGGAAAAAATATATAATAGCTTTTACATAAAAGCAAATCAGCATATTCTTATGATTTCTGGATGATCACATAACTTGATGCTGAAACTTGACATAGAAATAAATGTATGAAATATACTTAAAATGTGTACAGTTATTCATTTCTTAACAATATTGTTTTACAGCACCTTTTATTAACCATTGTGAGATTTTTAAATATACATGTTTTTATCTAATAAAACATACCAACCAAAAAACTATTAACTTTAAAAATATGAATTACTTCTGAGGATAAATACAAATTTGCATATAAAATCTATAGACACTAGCTTTTAACAGGCAAAGTGAGAGGTAGTATTATCTTCTTTTTTTAAGTAGTACTACAGCAAGAATGCATCTATAATGCTACAGATAGTTTCTATTACAATCAAACTTCTGGGAAAAAAATATATAATATATAGTTTCTACAAAAATAATTAATGCTTCTACAGAAGCAAATCAGCATATTGTTATGATTTCTGAATGATCACATAACTAGATGCTGAACATTGAACATCACAGAAATAAATATATTTTTTAAATTGACTGAAAAATGTTATTCATTACTTAACACTATTGTTTAACTGAACATTCACAAACTGCGTGGCAAACTTGGGCACTTGCAACTACCCCTCTGGAGCTGTAGTTAGAAACATAGTTCCTGGCTGGGTTCTATTGCCAGTTGTATGTTACGTCTTTAAAGCTTGTGAAAACTAAAAAAACATAGCATACATTAATACTTTTAATTTATAGTAGGTTCTTTATTAAGTATCTGTACTGTATATAATAAATAAATAAACAATATCCTACTCAATGATAATAATCATCATCATTAATATTTTATTTTTATTAAAGTAGGATTATAAATAATAAATATTAAATTTTATCTCTTAAAAAAAGCCTAGTTATTTATATGATTTATATATGATATTAGAATATGTGTTAGCTTTTGTATGTCATGTTCTCAATAATATTTGTAAGGAAAACATTGGCCCTATATGTGCCATTGACATATATTTTTTAATAAATATGGAAAGCGAGTGCATGTTTTTACCGAAGCTAATATTGGACTTTTTTTTTTAAATGTGTGTGCGTGTAAAACAATATAATTTGCAAAAAGAAATCATGTGGTTCTTCTCTAAAGAAGTTGTTAACACGCTGTTTAGAGCATCACTGTGAGCGTTTTACGTTATAATTAACATGGTTTAAGCGATGGATCTGCGACAGAGAAACTATTGGTTTTGGGAAACACTCGTCACTACATCGTTCTTTTTTTCCAAACGATGCATTGTAAAATGATATTTCAGCTGTGAGTTACATCATTGTTTGGGAAACGCACCCCAGTGTGAGAATTTATTTAACATTTTATTTAATAAAATATACCAACTAAAAAAAATATATTATATAAAATTATATATATATATAAAATTATAAAATATATATAAGGAGCAAGGAAATTTTCACAGTATTTCTGATAATATTTTTTCTTCTGGAGAAAGTCTTATTTGTTTTATTTCGGCTAGAATAAAAGCAGCTTTTAATTTTTTAAACACCATTTTAGGGACAAAATTATTAGCCCCTTTAAGCTATATTTTTATTTCGATTGTCTTCTACAGAACAAACCATCATTATACAATAACTGGCCTAATTACCCTAACCTGCCTAGTTAACCTAATTAACATAGTTAAGCCTTTAAATGTCACTTTAAGCTGTCTAGAAGTATCTTGAATAATATCTAGTAAAATATTTTTTAGTCATGATGGTAAAGGTAAAATAAATCCATTATTAGAAATGAGTTTTTAAAACTATTATGTTTAGAAATGAGTTGAAAAAATCTGCTCTCTGTTAAACAGAAATTGGTGAAAAAATAAACAAGCGGTTTAATAATTCAAGGGGGCTAATAATTCTGACTTCAACTGTATATGAGTATATATTTATATTATGAATTATAAATGATTGCATGATTGGATGCTGAAAATTTACATCCCAGAAATAACTAATGATATTCATTACTCAACTTTTTTTTTTTTACTGCACCTTTTACTAACCAGTGTAAGGAAAAAAATACCAGTATATATTTATTTTATTTAATAAAAACATACCAACCAAAAGTATTATACATTCATTTATTTTCCTTTTGGCTTAGTCCCTTTATTTTAACAATGAATGGCCGACTTATGCAGCATATGTTTTAAGCAGCAGATGCCTTTCCATCCACAACCCAGACCTAGGAAACACCCATAAACACTCATTGACACGCATACACTATGGCTAACATAGTTTATTAAATTCACCTATAGCGCATGTCTTTGGACAACAGGGGAACCGGAGCACCCGGAGGAAACCCACACAAACACGGGGAGAACATGCAAACTCCACACAGAAATGCCAACTGACCAGCTCGAACCAGCAACCTTTTTAGCTGTGAGGTGACAGTGCTAACCACTGAGCCACTAAATCACCCAGTTTTATAAAATTGTAACAATTTAAATAGCTTTGTATAATTGAAGTATTCTCTAGGTAAAATCAAAATTTTCCCACATAATTTTACAATAAACAGGAATACCTCTGCAGACTCCCATCCCACAAAACTGTTGCTGGTCTTCTTGCTCTTGTTCTTTCTGCTGGGAAGTGGAGAAGGCTTCATGTCTTTGGAAGGTGGGAAAAGCAGCTCATGGTGTCTGATCATAACTGTCATCACTTTCTGTATCATGGGAGTTCCTGTGTATGCGGCGAGAACATTGATCAATACCACAACAACGTGTTAACCAATAACACCTTACGATAATCACATTCACACATTTGTGCAGTTCCATTGAAATACACGATGAATGCATGTTTTCCTGTTACCGTATTTTGTGTTGAAACAGGAAGATGGAGTGAGGCAAGTTAAACAACAAAATATCATCATTAGTTTAAAGCATACACCTAGCTGATCATTTTATTGTACAAAATACTAATACTTTTAGCAAAAATGTGTGTATCATTTTACCAGAAACGACTCTGTAATAATGAACTGTTTGTATGCTATATAGACTCATTGGCCACTTTATTAGGTGTGGTACAATATGGCTGCTGGTGATTTCTCAGAAAGCTTTGATTAACTGAGATTTTCATGCAAAACTCTAGCTTAAAAAAAAAAGAAAATTTCCAGTAAGTGGCATTTCTGCAGACAAATATGCCTTGATGCCAGATATTAGACAGACAAGACAACCACTCCATACAAACAAATACCAGTGGTGTAAAGTGACAAATTTCCAATATAATACAATGATAATCCAATGACTATAATTTAGTTTTTTTTTGCTCAGGAATTACTTCACTAAGCAGTTTTTCAAATTTGTACTTTTACTTGAGTACATTTTAAGTGCCGCACTGGTACTTTTACAGTGCTATTTTCCTCACTTTGTAGTAAATACTTCATTTTTTTCTAGTCTACAGAAACAAATGATTGGGTAAGTAGAACACTCAGTCCTGGGATTCCCATCAAGTTGCACATAGAAAAAAAAGCATTCGCATGTCAGACAGGCCTCAAAACACTAACATTTTCATAAATGCAGTTTAGATATGTACAGTGTGCAAGCATCAACAGTGTCTAAGAAGATGCAAAGTCATTACACACGATAACTGAAGACATTTTAGACCAGGGGTTCCCAACCACTGTGTTGCGACCCTGTTGACTAGTATTGATCCAGTACAGAGTTTCTACCTGGCCACAAGAATGCAAAATTACTCCCACTTTATTATGATTTACCCGTTAAGTAACCAATATCCATAGTTCCATACAGTATATGTGAATATTGCAGACTGATGCAAATACATTGTGCCACTCCAATAATATAATTTGAAATATTTCTAAATGTTTTCTACTAGGTTATGTCCCGGTGGACAGCATTTGGCATCTATATGTGTTGGGATTGTTATAAGTACATATATTAATGTAATGTGATTTTTACGTTAAATTAATCTCACATTTTAAATTTATAGTGAATGACTGGAAAATAACTGAACATTAACTTAGAAACACACTTAAAAGAAAACGAGGCTGATATGAGCTACATTTTTAAATCGCAGGATATAAGGTGGAATCATTTTCAGTTTAATTCTCACTACTCTTGAGCACTTTTAGAGAGGCTAGTAACTAGTAAAGTTTTTGGCAAGTAATGGCAGTTTTACTTGGGTGTGATTTTGCAGTGCTCTTTACACCACTGCTGTATGCACAACACATCTAACCTTGAAGCAGATGAGCTACAGCACCGGGGCAGCACTCGGCATCTATTTGTGTTAGCAACATATTTACATATTTAGCAACATATTTACAATGTGGGGCGCAGTGCCTATCTTCATTCAATTCAGTTACAACAGCATGAGAGGGAAAAAAAGAGTCTCTCTATCTATTATGGTGATTTGTATTAGTTTGATGTAGTTTGTAAATTGTAATTTCACCTAAATACCAATCAAAATACATTGCCTAACACCCCTCCTAGGTCTGCAGAAAATGTATACAAACACCTGTCTGTGCTACGAAAAAGGTTGCAGATCCCTGGTTAGGGCTACTTGTATGTCACTGATGAAGAAGATAAGGAATGCTACTGTATGATGAAATCATGAAATGCCCTTAAACATTAGCTAAATGCACTACAGAATGTTCCTTTTACAAATTGCACAAATTTCATGTTTTCTATTAGCGGTGCATGAGCTTGGTTTGTAGCTCCAACTGCTGAACACTCTTATCTTGTTAGTTAGGGTTTAAAGAGCATTTACATATCACCACAGGTAGATTTTTGCCCCTATACCGAGATTTTGCTCCACCTGCTTAACGTATCAACCTGCTTTCTGTTGGCTTATTATAGGTACATATATTAATGTAATGTGATTTCACATTAAACTCATCTCACATTTTAAATTATTGATTGATTATTAAATAATTGAACTTTAATTTAGAAACACACTTTAATGGAAATAGTACTGATGTAAGCTACATTTTTAATTTGCAAGATAAAACATGAAATAATTTTCAGTGTAATTCTCACTACTCTTGAATACTTTTAGAGGCGCTATCTTTTGAGTAATTAGAAAAGGTGCTTTTACTTGTGTTTGATTTTTCAGTTCTCTTTACACCACTGCTGTATATACAACACATCAAACATTGAAGCAGATGAACACACCATTGTCACTTCATATGATCAATCTGCAACATTTCTTCTGGGACATATGGTTGCTTGGGCAAGCATTTACATAAGCAGCTTGTAAGCGAGTGGAGGTATTCTTAAAACATTTTGTATTAATAGTATTAGTATTAACCGAGCATCATTTATAAAACACAGACAACCTGAGTTGTTGATCATAACCATCCATTTATCATGCTAGTGAGTTTTTTTCAACATGACTGAGTTCGTAAGTTTATTATACCAAAATGTCCTCTACAGTCACCTAAAGTCAATCCAGTAGAGCACCTTTGGAATGTGTTGGAAAATTACAGAAAATCTGCTGTATGATGCTGTCATATTAATATGGGTAAAATATTTAATGAATGTTTTCAGCATCTTTCTTAATTTAAATAAAGACAGTACTAGCTAAATGTAAGTAATAGGGTGACCTAACGTCATCTTTTCCCCAGACATGTCCTCTATTTTAGGCTAAAAAAATGTGTTCAACCAGGATTTCTAAATCTCCACACATTTCTGAGATTCGGCTTTTGCCTTGTAAAATTGTCATTAATTGTATGGATCAGCTTTTACCTGTTCGTGGGTGCCAGGTGGTATATAGCTCCTGAGTAGTGTAAAAGTACTAAATAAAATAGTGGATTTTTGTTTATTTCTTCATTTCTTTTATATTTTAGTGTTTCTTTTTCAACAGGTTCGATGTCTTTAAGTTCAAAGCTGTTAAATACGTAAAAAAAAATTACAAATTAGTTTGTTGTATATTATTGGGGACCAAAAGTTGAATGGAAAGTTTGTTATTACTTTATGTATTTAAGTCGCTTAAATACAGTTTCATAATTTGTTTAAGTGCAAGTATTTTACAGCTCAAACAAGCAATTTAGTCTAGGAGTAACCTTAAGCCATGTCTGTAAAGCTTGGCTATAATATTTTATCCATTTTAGGATGATAACTGACCTTTCATCATACTAATAGCATCCTCGACTTGTGGTTTGAACAAGTTCACTCCCATCACTGTGGCCAAATTCTCAACACTCATCTTATTCACCTTTGAGTTTTGCTGGACCTCAAAAAGGAATCTGCAATAACAAACATGACCATACGTCATACGAGGCAGATGTTAATGTTATCAGTGCATTTTCTTTTTACATTTTTAGAATGATTCATACCTGCAGATGTAACTCAGGAGGTTGTAGTTCACTTTTGGCAGTAAACTAATTTGTTTCTCCAGCTTCTCTTTGCCCTTGGATTGATCAGATTAAATGCAGTTAGTCGTAAAATCAACACTCATCTGAAAGACAATGTTTTGTGAAGGTGATTCTCACAGCTGCGGTGGTGGCATCCAGCATCAGAGTGCTGTCAAGAAAGTCCTGATATTGAGTCCAGGGCACAACGGGTTCAGGAAGCTCTCTCAGGTACAGCTTGAGTAATGACGCCACCGTGTGGACATCAGTGTCACTGCATCCAAAAAGGTTTGAACGAACTTTTAATTTGATATTGATGTCTATGAACGTTGTTTTTTCAGTCTAAATATATGTTCATGTTTAGGATTGCAGTGGTTTGATATCTGATATGTGCGTGCGTTGAATGGCAAGATCTTTGTTAGTCAGGACAGGATGTGGCTCAGCCACAGTTCAATGCATAGAAGGTTCCTCTGAAACACTCTGCATTTGTATCTCCCTCTCAATCATTTTACCCAGCATTCGTTCTCTTGCTTTCACATGTCACTCTCTCTCTCCCTTGCTCAAATCTAGAACAAACTTTTTGGGTCAAACCCTTTACCTACACTACTTCCTCTTAAAAGCAGTCTGCATTGTGTTTCACCATAAATGGTCATGTAGTGTGTGGTTATCCACATAAAAGCCCCATTCTCATGCAAGCTTAAAAAAAAAAAAAATTTTTAAAAATAGAAGACTGTAAACACTGGCCATCTGACATAAAAAAAGAGGTGTGAAACATTTTAGAAGATGGTGATTGTTTCTTGATTTCTTGTTAGAAATTAATTTAATTATTTGTGTAATTTCCTCTTGACCAGGGAGGACTAATCCAACACAATTCAAAACAAATTAACTGTCAAATTTTTTAATACTATAACCAGATAAACAGTCATATCAATAAACTAATGGGGGAAAGAACAATGAAAGCATGTCAAGCTGAATGGGGCAAGAAAATGAAACAAGAAATCCATAACTGTAACAGCAGTGTACAAGACAATCATAATGTTTTATAACTGATCATTTTACATTAACTCTTCACTTTTGAGAATGATAATATGCATACTTCATATGCAGTATCAAGGTTTTTAAAATCAAATATATGCTTCCTATTGAACTTTCTCCTTATTAAAGAATCCAGACTATACAAAAATGAAAATAGTTTTCAACATTGATCGAAATCAGAAAACATGCAAAGTAGAAGAATCATGTGACATTGAAGACTGCAGTAATAAATATTTGAAGAGTTCAGATGCAAAAACATCTAAATGCCTTCTGAAATATGGCCTAAAATGACAACTTTTTTCAAGTTTATGTTCAGTTATTTCACCTGAAAGTCAATGAAAATAACTTGTTCGTCACTATAAAAGTAAAATTACTGAGCAACTGAGAAAAACTATAATTTTAGAAGAAAATATCAAATGGCTTTTAGAGGTTTTTGCATCTCTTCATTTATTGATGAAAAATGAATTCAAATTTTAAAATACTAAAATGGAAAATAGCTATTGAAAAGACTCAGACTCAACTTTATTATCACGTGTAGGGAAACTAAAACTGCAGCAAGGTGCTGTGACACAGACGAACTTCCATGTACACATTGATAAAATATTACCCCACAACATACAATAAATCACATTGTAGGTGCATCTCCCTCCCCCTGGACTCATTTAATGACCTAGTGGTCACTATTATAAAAGAATTTCTAACTCTATTTGTCCTACAAACTCTAAAATGACGTCCTGATGGCTAAAACACAGAGTACAAAGGGTGATCCAGGGTGCATAGGATACCCTGGGTTCTCTTTTAAACACCAGTATGGTAAATTACCGTTGGACCAGTTTGGTTAAAACCAATGATCTTCACTGCCACCTTCACCACGCTACTTAACCTGTTCTTGTTTAACACACTTAGATTACTGTACCAAGCTACAATGCAGAAAGATAAAACAGATTCAATTAATTGTTTCTGAAAAATGTCATCATAGAGGTACAAACCTGAAAAGATCCGAGTTTCCTCAGAAAAAAACAGTCTTTGTTGGACTTTTTATAAACAGCCTGAGTGTTAGGTTGAAATGTCAACATATTGTCAATAACAACCCCTAGATATATATGTGTGTCCACAATTTCAATGTCCAAGCCTTTAAGTTTTGTTATGTTGGGGGTAGGAGAAGCCTTCCTGTAATCTATCACCATGTCTTTTGTTTTATTTACATTCAACTGGAGAGAAAATCTATCACACCAGGAAGTAAATTCTTCTACAACAGGACCATGCCCCAAAATCCTGATCGCGGAGGAGACTCACAATCACCGAATCATCAGCATACTTTATGATATGACAGTTCCCGTACAGTATATACTCCGACAATCATTAATACACATGACGAACAGAAGAGGTGAGAGGCAACAACCTTGAGGGAACCCAGTAGAACAATACTGTAAGTTAGAAAGAGCACCATTGTCTCTGACACACTGCAAGCGTCTTACTAAAAAATCCAGAAACCATTCACAAACATTAAAATCCAAGTTAAAAAGAGAAATTAATTTCTCAACCAACAAATGTGGCTTCATAGTATTAAAAGCAGAAGAGAAATTAATAAACAACAATCTGGCATGGGTCTTAGACTTCACCAGATGATTAAACAGGTCATTTAACAGTGTAAGATTAGCATCTTCAACCCCCCTGCTCTGTCTGAATGCAAACTGCAATGAATTAAATTTGTCCTTTGACTGCAATAAAATCTCACCTTTAATAATTCTCTCGAAACACTTCATAACTAATGAGGTACGGGCAACAGGTCTGAAATCATTTGACTCCCGGGAAACTTACTTTTAGCTATAGGAACGATAACAGATTTCTTCCAAATTGTCATGTATAGATGTAATACTATTTAACAATATTTTTGATGAAATAAATGCAGCCATGGCAAGAGACATGAAAAATCTTACTGACCCAAACTGAACCCAAATAGTAGTGCAACATGGTAGTATCATGGTATTCTTTGAAGTACATTGTAAATGTCAGGATACATGACATTATATATTATAAATTATATATTATAAATTATATATATATATTACTGGACAAGCAATACAGCAATATTTTGTTAATAAAATTCTAATTAGTTTTCTACACACATCTCTGAGTAATTTTGCACAAAGTCACCTAGACATGTGCAACTTTACCTGGGGAATGAGGGTCTTTCTCCAGCGTCAAAGGCTTCTCTGAACTGCTTCACCTGGTTGTCCTGTCCTGGCAGGCGGAAGATGCCCTCCTCAACCAGACCATGCTCTCTGATGAATTCAGCACACTTCTCTACCAGGATGGGCACCAGACGAGCCCCAAATTTTCTCTCATACACCATGATGTCTGAAAGGCTTTTCCCAAATACTTTGAAGAAAGAAAAAACCATTTTATTGCATTGCAGGCTTAGCCCTAAAAGGGGCAAAATTGATTTTGTTTATAAAAACTATAACGTTTTCTTTTAAAGTTAAGTGTTATCTAATCATGTGTATGCATATTTGTTTTAATAAATGTGTACATTATTCATAATATAGCTTTAAATGTTTGAATCTCAGGGAATACATAAACCCTTTTAGGGTTAAATCTATAAAAAGTCAAAACGTTGGTCCCAGACTAAAATAAAAGTCAGATTTTTTTATTTCAGACAAAAGAAACTTGCACAGACTGATCTTGCACGGACTGATCTACATACTACTCATTAAGTTTGTTTTGGATGGATACCAGTAATGTTTTTTCTAAGGAAAATTATTTTAAAAATGACTTAAGTGTCCTAACAGAACTATAGACTAATCCTGGCTTAGTCTAAGCCATGTTTGTGAAACCAGACTTTAGAGTATTACAACACAGCCAAGCTCTAGTTAACAAGAGCATATTTACATTAGGGATGCACAGATATGAGATAAGCACAAGATTTGGAAGATTTTAGCGCAAGATTTGGGCTAAAACCAGTAAACATTTTATTTGAAACTGATAACCGCTATATACTGTAGTCCGATAAAATATAATCATCTCTAAACCTAATTATGAAAGCAAAACTTGAACTGCAACAACTATATTTTTCTTTATTTTTTTTACAAAACCATTAACAAATTGCAATACAGATGTCCTATGTTTTTCATTGAAAAACTTGTATACTGCTGACATTGCGTTTTCTTCAAAAAAATCTTTTTTTAAATGCATGTTTGCTGGGTATAAAAATTTTATCATATGAAACACATCTAAATCGATTGAATAACCAGCGGAAATATCCCATCTTTTTAAATATTAAGAAAGAAGACTGGGCCAAAATAAAAACATTAAAAATAATAATTGAATGGATGGTACTGACATGCTGTCAATATTTTGTGCATACCTAATTTACATATATAATAAATTATTATAAACTGTAATGACAAACATGTATTTTAGGCTGGTCCAACTACTTCAAATTCATATTACAGTACATACCATACAAACAGGAGACTCACTAAAATGTAAGGTTCAGTTACAGCCAATATTATTAAGCATAGTTACAGTTCATTTGCTTACTGATTTGATAGATGAGGGGTTTTCATTGAATCATATTACAGTATAGAAGGGCTGGGCGATAATTCGATATCGATAACTATCAAGATATATAATTTTACGATAAACCGATAATGACAGTTCGATAATTGCTCGATAATATTTACGCACTATGCATAACGTTGTGCAAGCATTTTGCAGCTTGCCCTTCTGAATGTTGCACGCAGCCATACAGTGTTTGTTGCTCTTGAAGGAGTACGAAAAAAAATAAGGAAAAAAAGTCAGTCACAGACATTGTTGACAAGAAACGTCACTAGACTTCAGTAGCTCGGAGCTACTTAGTTTTTTGAAATCAACACAAAACAGAGCAACATGCACTGCGAACTGCGCAGACGACTTTTGCCTGCCATCAAAAGCAGGCAACACCACAAACCTGTTTCATCATTTAAAACAATACCACCCTTATGAAAATGCAAAGAAATTACAAACAACAAACATGTGTTGATAAACTAGCGCAACTACCCAGCAGAGTCTAATGTCATCATTTTCGAAAGCCGTGCCTTACAAGAAAAAAAACCCGTAAAGCCAGACGAAAGATATGACAGACAACACAGTCTCAAACACATCTCAATGAACACTTGATGATTACTGTGTTAAATCAGCTGCACAAAGGGATTGGCAGGTTAAAAATCTTATAAAATTGATAGATTTTTTTTATTTTACAGTTATCGCGATAATTATCGATATTGACCAATATGAAAAAAATTATTGTGATTTTTTTGTTGCCATATCGCCCAGCTCTACAGTATAGTGCATCATATTATATACTGTATATTAGCTTAAGTCCAGGTGAACCACAAGTAGCTGAGATTTTTATTTCAGTATGTTGACATTATTTGTTCAGTTCATTAACTTGCTCAGATTAATTGTTTGTGTTAAGAATAACAAAGTGCGCTAGCAAAATAAACATTGTAAATTTAGATTTTACACAGATTTTAACAATTCAGACTTTTATACACTCAAACACTAGTAAAAAGAGAGTTAATCCTATGCACTGTTAATATCTGCTTGTTAAGACATGATGAATTAAATTGGTTTCTGGGTCCAAGCCGCTACTCGGTTGAATTAAGGAAAGTTTTGTTAATGACCACACATTAAAGTGAATTTCTTATAAAGTCATGGTGTATACAACAGTCTCTGGACTTGATGCAACACACACAAAAATATTTATCAATTTCTGATTTTACAAAATCTAAATCGATCAAACTCTTTCTGGCCATCTGATTTTCAAAAGTATAACATCACTTTGTAAACATTTATTACTCCCATCTGTTAAGTCTCTCTGTAAAGTTTGGTAGAAGCTGCTTCACGTGACATTACACTTAACAAGCAGATACATTTTTTGCATAGATTTTTCCAAGGTTTTCCCCCTATTGATAAAAACACATACTGCAGTGTGTTTTAGATCCAAATAAAATATTAAAAATATGAGAGAGAACAGGCATATTTTCGAATTGAGTGTTTCTTAACCACGTTCCTGGAGGACCACAAACACTGCATGTTTTCGATGTCTCCTTTGTCTGTCACACCCATTACAGGTCCTTCAGTCTCTGCTAATGAGCTGATGATCTGAATCAGGTGTGTTTGGTTAAGGAATGTGGCTGAGAAACACTGTATTAGAACCTGCTCAATCAATGATAAACAACACAAATTGTTTGACGTTTTGTGTACGATGAACAACCGATACCTCCATTGGAGCGTGACCCTATGGCCTTGCGGATCCAGCGCACCCACTCTTCCATCTCACTCTGACTGGTTGCCATGAGAACATAAGCATCCCGTTCCCGATCCGTACTGCCACCTGCTGCATCACAGAAACAACAACTTTAAATAACTTTGCCCTGAAAATTTAGGAGCCCAAGAGAATGTAAACACTGTATTAATAACCAACACAGATATACTCACTTTACAGAGATGACAGTTCACACACAAATGAACATTTACTCACTATTAAATGATTTCAAGCTTTATTTGTTGAACTAAAAAGAAATATTTTGATGAATATCAGAATCTGCTAGCCATTGACATCCACAGAAAGACAAAAATTCTATTGAAGTCAATTACTTCTGGTTTCCAGCATTGTTCAAAAATTATTTTGTGTAGAACAGAAGAAAGAAACTCAAAGAGGTTTGAAACAAGTGAAGGGCGAGTAAATAATGAAAGAAGATTAAAATATTTGGATGAACTTTTCCTTTAAGGGGTTTGAAAACAATTAACCCAGGGTCATTGTATTCAGGATTTACAATGCACAATTCAAAAGACTGAGTACAAAAAAAATAACTTTAATTATTTTCATATTTAAAGTGTCTGTGAATGCACCATGCGACCTAGTTAAATAAAGACTCTAGTGTCAAACATCCTCATATTATTCCCAGGTAGCAAAGAATTCTGGACCAGATTTGGTATAAAGCTAACACAGCAAGCATTCATCTGGCACTGGCATACAGCATGTGGGCCAAACCTGGCCCAAGTTTGGCAAGATTTATGCCAGATGTAAAATGTAGTTTTTGGCCCAGATGGTAAAAATTGATAAGTGGTTCCCGTAAATTGATCCTGTCTTGACCCACATTTTTAAACTACATTTAAATTATTTTTGAGTAAAGAAAAAAATTCTACTATCAGGTCGTCTTAAGAAAAAGCATGGCTATAGTGTGCCTAAAGCGCAATGCTTCATGGGTTAGTTAATTTCATTTGCAATTGTGACACTCCAACCTTTCTGGCCCAGTTCAGGTCCAGTTATGAATTATTAACTCTGGAAGCCAGACTTGGTCCAAATATGTACCGCAATTCACTGCAGCATGTGGGCCAAGCAAAACCTGATTGTGTGGGCCATAGCTGGGCCAGAGAAATTTTGTTATGTGGGTTCCTGTACAGTTATATACTGCTATAGTGTTTCATTTTTTCCTTGAATTGACTTTTCTGACTATTAAAGTAAGAATGAGGCTTCCTCTTCATTACTGTTGGCAAGTTTGAGGAGATATTTATCTTTAAATAATAAGTGTTCCTGTAATTATCCAAAGCATGTGAACATGAGGCACATGACTGGCAGTATGTTTGGCACCACAGGTTAACAGCACAGAAACAAGGTGCTGACCATGCTAAATTTCAAGCATGAATAGCCGCATTTTCACTGTCGGCCAGTGCGAGCCAGGGCTTATATCGGGCCAGGTCATGCCAATAGCCCAGGAGCATGAGCAGTGAGGCTGAAATCATGTCGCATTTCCATGGTCGGGCTAGTAGCTTGCAGCGCATCACGCAAACCACGCCCCCAGAACATCCCCCGAATCAAATGTCACACAACCAATCCAGTTCAGCGGGATCAGGCAGGCAGATAAAGCACATCATCGCATCTTCACGAAACGATTAAAATGAAGACAACCGAAACAAACAAATGACACGTTACTGTACAGCATTACATTATATGTCATTATGTGTCTATACGCAGAGTTCTGTTTCCTTTACCCACAGTTACAAACTGTGTTTAGGCCATCAATCAATCCATCAATCAAATAAACTTTCCAAATAAATTAATGCAGTTCAAACTGCCTTAAATGCAGAAAATTGAACATTATTAATAGTAATAACACAAATTAACGCATAAAAAATAAAAATAGACACTACTAAAACTAAAAACAAAAACAAATATTAATAAGGTCAGTATAAATAAAGGCCACAATATCGATTAATAGGTTATTAAATAGGGTTTCAAATGTTGAAGATTTTCTGAACTCACTTACTCCAGGTTATTTCAGAGGCTAGGATTGAATCACCGAATTTCTTGGTTCTACTTTTTTTTTTTTTAAATAACAAGACAGTTTGAGAGTTCATCGAGTTTCATACACCGAAAGCAATTTTGACAGATAGTCTAGAGTAAAACCATGCCATGGCTTATAAACTAATAAAAGACTGGCTGCGTTTATTTGCACCAACTACTTTAGCAATGTGATGCTAAATTAAAAATAGGCATATTTTAATTCTATTTACAGCACATACAAACAGATACAGATGTAAGTGCAAATATCAAATTAAAGACCAAGTGAAAATAGCACTATTTTCTTAGCATGATTCAATTATTTATATACGGATATGTATTATTTAAACTACATGAAAAATTATATTATTCATTTGCAATTAGCAAGTTTATTTATATGACATATCTAGTGGAAGTAGTGGCAGATATCTGCATCAGTAATAAGGCTACATTATAAAATAGTATGTAGAAATATTATTTTCAGTCAGGGTTGCCAAGTCCATGATTTTTCCTGTTGAATTAGGCTAATTTTAACCATGCCGCAGGTTGTTTTTTTTTTTTTGTTTTTTTTTTTTGTGGTCAAAGTTCTGCATATTGCATCAATTACATTACTATGGTTGTGTTAAAATATTTTAATGTAACAGATTTATATTTCACCAATGATGAAAACCATAATATCATGAAGAAAGAGATTTAGCACACTTTTTGTATAGGTGCTACGAGACACTGTGGCTGTTTCTATTTCCACGATAATGTATTAGAAGGACTCTTTAGTATTGTTGCTAAAAAAATAACAAAAAAATTACATGTATTTTACAGAAGAAAGTTAATCAATTACAGTTAATTAGAAATATATTGATATTGAATTGACCTGCAATTAGAGGGATTCAAAGTTAGTATTAGCGCTACTGTAAAAGATCTAGGTGTTATATTAGAGAGCAAGTTAACTTTTAAAAATCATATCTTCCATGTCACAAAAACTGCCTTCTTTCATCTGAAAAATATTTTAAAGTTGCAGAGTATGCTATCCCTCACAGATGCAGAAAAGCTAGTTCATACTTTTATGACTTCTAGAATGGATTACTATAATGCTCTGTTTGCTGGTTGACCAGCATCCTCTATTAATAAACTTCAGTTAATGCAAAATGTACAGTTAAAGTCAGAATTATTAGCCCCCTTTGAATTGTTTTCTTCTTTTTAAAATATTTCCTAAATTATGTTTAACAGAGCAAGGACATTTTCACAGTATGTCTGATAATATTTATTCTTCTGGAGAAAGTCTGATTTGTTTTTTTTTTCGGCCAGAATAAAAGCAGTTTGAAATTTTTAAACACTATTTTAGGGACAAAATTATTAGCCCCTTTAAACAAATTTTTTTCTCGATAGTCTACAGAACAAACCATCGTTATACAATAACTTGCCTAATTACCCTAACCTGCCTAGTTAACCTAATTAACCTAGTTAAGCCTTTAAATGTCACTTTAAGCTGTATAGAAGTGTCTTGAAAAATATCTGGTAAAATATTATTTACTGTCATCATGCAAAGATAAAATGAATTCATTATTAAAAATGAGTAAATAAAACTATTATGTTTATAAATGTGCTGTAAAAATCTGCTCTCTGTTAAACAGAAATTGGGGAAAAAATAAACAAGCGGTCTAATAATTCAAGGGGGCTAATAATTCTGACTTCAACTTTAGATGCCAGAGTTCTTACCAGGTCAAAAAAATATGACCATATCACCCCAATTTTATCCCTCTTACACTGGCTGCCTGTTAAGTTCTGCATTTATTATAAAATACTGCTTCTAACCAATAAAGCTTTAAATAATCTAGCTCCTGTTTATCAAACCAACTTTCTGTCTCGCTACAATCCAGCCCGCTCTTTAAGATCTCAAAACTCAAGGCTTCTGTAGCACCTAGAACAGCACAGTCAAGTAAAGGAGGTAGAGCCTTCTCATTTATGGCTCCTAAACTCTGGAATAGCCTTCCTGATAATGTCTGAGGCTCAGTCACACTCTCTCAGTTCAAAACTAGAGTAAAAAGCTAATTTTTTAGAAAAGCATACACACAATGCATCACATAACGATATGATGTATGAATGTGCTTCACACAGGTGAGCGGGCTTGACAACCACCTGTAGGACACACTCCTCCTGTCTTAATGCACCAGACATTTTGTTAGAAACTCTCATATGCTTTACATGTTTGTTTTTATGTCTGTTTGCATAAGTACTGTTTTTAATTTGTAGCACTTCATTTTTGCATTTCATATTTAAAAAACACTATGAACAGCAGCTACGAAAACTATTTTCTTTATTCTCTATTTCCACCACGGGATACTCATACAGAGGCCCCTAGATATTATGCAGCACTATTAATGCTATCCAAGACCTTTGAAGAAATAATGACAAAGTATCCATAATCCTGGACCAGGCCGTATCCTGAGCTGATGCTGTGGTGGTCATGGAGAAGCGAGGTGCATGAAACCACAGTGACAGACGTCTTCTCATTGATCACGTGGGACAGCCTAAACACCTGCCGGTGACCTTTATACACCTGCAGTTCTCCACAATAAACGTCCAGCGTTCTCCTGCTTCCGGTGCCTAGACTGCAGCTCTGCACAAGAAGTTTGGCCAGAGAACAAATGGTCATGCCCAAAAGAGCCTGGTTTCTCTTGAGGTTTTTTTCTTCATTTCGTCAATTGGTGAAGTTTGATTCCTCAAAAATCTTGCCATTGGCTTACTTGTTGGGGACTTGTAGAGCTGCGCATCGGTGTATTTTCTCTTCAGTGTTTGGACTTTCAGCAGTGAAATTTAAACCACACTGAACTGAACTGAACTGAACTTCAACTCTGAAAACTGGACTGACACAATTTCAGTTTACTAAAACACCTATGTAAAGCTGCTTTGACACAATCTACATTGTAAAAACGCTATAGAAAATAAACATAATTTGAATTGAATCTTAATTAAAAATTTTAGATTCAAACCATGGATGGGTCATATTGTAAGGCTTGGTATTATTGGGCTAGTTTTGATTGGCCATTGGAATAGTTTTGTTGCAAAAACCGGGCAACCTCAATTCAGTATCATTGAAAATATTATCAAATTGATGCTGCCATTTGTGACGATAACGCCTATTCATATTAAATACTCAATAAAGAGTTTTGTTACAAATTTTAAAAAAGTTTTATTCATTTTTATTAAAAAATAAACATCTTTGCAATCTGTAATAATCCAAAAAAAATTCTTTTTCTGATTAGTAGGAAAGGTGAAGTAACCTGTACGATGATTTTAAAATAAGAGTAATGTGATCTCTCCTTTTGTTATTTGTCCTTCATGCTCTCAGTTTAGTTCCAGTATATTTAGTTTAGGTGTCAATTTCTCTCCACATTTTTGTTTTGGGTTTAGCATAGAGTGAAAAGCCATTTTGTGTGACAGAAGTAAAATCAAAAGACTCACCTGGGATAATCTCAAACAGGAATTTATCGTCTGCATTTGATGGCAGCTCATTAACTTGGCATGAGAATAAAGGTATGGTTCCCTGTGAATCAAATACACAATAGTTACAGAAATGTCTGATTGAAACTAAAGGGAAATTAATATTATAAATGTAATAATAATAATAATAATAATAATAATAATAATAATAATAATAATAATAATAATAATAATAATCATAATATTAATAATGAAATAAATTATCCTGATCATTATTTTATTGATTTTGATGGCATACAGTGAGATTAAAAAGTGTGAGGCTACACTTAAAACCTATCATTCAAAATACAATTTAAGCCTAGGGGTAAAAATAAAATAGAATAATATAAAATAAATTGATAAATAAATAAAATCCATGGGTGTAAATAAAAAAAAAATTCATTTTAGTCATGTTACTAGTTTTGATACCATTAAATGAAATTATTCTGAGACCTCATTTCTAAACGTAAAGTAAATAAATCTATGAGGTAAAAATTAATATAATTTAATTTGAACATTTTAAAGTTGACTTAAAAATTACTACTTTTAGTTTAGCTAACTGACTGACATTTATTTTAAATATTGCATGTTATTAAACCCCCCAGGATAGAAAAAATGCTCTTTGTAAGAAATTATTTTAATAGAAAAAAATTACAGAAAATAACAATAAATGATGCATTAAAAAATTAATATAATAAAGTATCCTACCTGGACAGTGCTCTCTTTGTCATCCTTATGGTAAGTGAGGCTGTTTCCTCTCAGCACAAAGAAGCGCAGCTGCCAGTTCTTCACGATGGATCTTTGCTTCTTCAGCCAGCCTGTTTTCAGAGGCTTCTCCATAGATTTTTTAAACCCAGAGTGAGTGGACGCAGGGCTTCCTTCCCCTGGAATAACACTCTTGGAGCGAGCTGAGTGGAAATTGATAAAAACACAGACAGAGAATTAGGCCTTCTGAAAAAATAAAAATCCCCTGTTAGTGGACTGTCTAATTTTAATGGACATACTGTATATATAGTGAAGAACATGTCCTGCTTTGGTTTTAGAGCTGATATATATAGACAAATAAAAATGAAAGCTCCACCTGGAACTATTTTATGCTTTTAAGCAAAAACAGCCTTCAATATTACGGTGCAATGCATTGTTCACTATAGGTCAAAGGGTACTATTGGAGTTTGACTTTTTCCTAGATTGATTTCGGGAACTGAAACATCAAGGAGGAACATTTTGTTATTTAAGGAGTGCTTTTTTATACCTCAAATAAGCTAATGGCGTTCTCAGCTATCATATATTTAAGCATTCAGCTTATTTAACACATTTCTTCTAAAAATTGAGATGAAATAAAAATGACAAGATAATATACAAAAAAAATGTCACTTAAAAAAAAAAATTCAACATATTTAAATGATAATCAGGTTTTAATAAAACCACGATTTATGCAATTAAAACGCTGCTCAAACATTATCAAATAATATATACAGTCAATGGCTACTTTATTAAGTACACCGTCTAACTGCTCGTTAACGCACATTTCTAATCAGCCAATCACATGGCAGCAGCTCAGTGCATTTAGGCATAGAAATGGTCAATACGATCTGCTGCAGTTTAAACCAAGCATCAGAAATAGCTGATCTACTGGGATTTTCACGCACAACCATCTCTAGGGATTATGGAGAATGATGCAAAAAAAAAAAAATATCCAGATCAAAATATTGATGGCAGTGATCAGAGGAGAATGGCCAGACTGAATATAGCTGATAGAAAGACAACTGTAACTCAAATAACACCTTATTACAAACGAGGTATGCAGAAGAGCAACTCTGAACACACAACATGTCCAACCTTGAGGCAGATGGGCTACAGCAGGTGTGGGGGATATTTTTTTGGCACACTTTGGGCCCATTAGTACCAGCTGAACATTGTGTCAATGCCACAGACTAATGTATTGTTGCTGACCATGTCCATCCCTTTATGACTAGTGTACCCATCTTCTGATGGCTACTTCCAACAGGATAACGTGCTATGTTGAAGTGTGAATCATCTCAGACTGGTTTCTTGAACATGACAATGGGTTCACTGTACTCAAATGGCCTCCACACTTAACAGATCTCAATCCAATAGAGCACATTTGGGATGTGGTGGAACAGTAGATTCACATCATGGATGTGATACAATACTTGATACTAACAAGGTATAAATAATAAAGTGGCCAGTGAGTGGTATATACTGTATATAACAGTGACTTTTTAACTAAACTTTTATTTAAATGGTTTAACCCTTACTACATTATTACAAGTTTTAGTTAAATATTAAGAGAAAATAACATTATTGTTGATAATAATACATAGATTGTAATTACCTTTAATATATTGAGAGACTTCTTAATATTTCATTAAAAAATGTTGTATTCTGCTCATTTTTGAGTGTGTCTGAGTGTGTGTGTGTGCACGCATGAATGTGTGGGTTCCAAATAAATAAAAAAGACAGAGGTTAATATACGATTATTGTACTTTGATTAATTTGGTTTGGAAAAAAAATAAAAAATCTAAAACTAAACCAGTCGAACATGGCCTGCTGGTTTTAGTACATGGCAAAGCCTGATCCCCCTATGACGATTGGATTTAGGGGTGAGATTTGGTGTTCTTTTAAAAATTGTACATTTTTATACGATTGAACTTGTATGAATTCGTACAAATTAGCCATTAAGCTAACAAAAAGTAAAATAGTTACGTTTCCTCGGGAGATTAGACTGGATCAAACTGCTCTGTTGGATAATTTTTTAAACCATCATAAGACCAACAAGTCAAAGAGTGCTTTGTTTCCCAGCAGAATTGACTTGTCTGACATTTTCCAGAGAATTTGACTTTTCTTGCTAAATTAAATTGAAGTGTCTTTACAACTTATTTACAAACTCTTTCTCAGATGAAGTCTCCGTTTAAGCCCATATGTGTGTGAAAGAAACAATTAGGATATCTCATGAGTGGTTCCAGCACAGGGAAAGTGGGGTAGAGACCCCTGTGATTGACATAAGAAAACATGCTTTTTTATATTGGCATTTTATTATGAATAAATCCTTGTGCATTCATCAAGTGTTCTTCACACAGGTGAGTGGGCTTGACAAACCACCTGTAGAAACACATTCTATCTCAAAAAACAAGAAAACCTTCTCCTCCTTACCCTAGCAGTGAATACTCTGAGCACTAACTGTTGCTTTGTACATTTACATCAACTTGTAGTTGAATCACCAAATTCCTCTTCATTCGTAAGTCGTTTTGGACAAAAACATTTGCAGAATGACTACATGTAAGATGCCTTAAACACCTCAATCATCACTCATCATAGTGAAAGTTTCGTCGTGGAGCTGCCAAACACTTGACTTCATGCAAATCACTTTGATAAGACAGCATCTATAATGAATACATCTCAAGGTCCAATCAAGAGATGGTGTGACAGTGATTTGAAGCAGCCTGGAGCTTTTGTAGTCAAATTCGCTATATAACCCATTGAGACGAGAGGAAAGGGCAGAAGAGAGAGAACTAAGATAAACAGGAAGTTACAAGCTCATCAACCACAGGAAGTAGCGTTTCTGAAAGATCCCCACCTAACGTCAGTCTCTTTGGTCTATTTAGAGAAGATCTTCCCTGATGGAGAGCACGGAGCGCGTGCTGTTCTCTCTCCTGGACCACCAGCCCACACACATCGGCCCGCTTCAGACCTCACCCATTGCTATGACACACGCTGGGATCAGGGGAGCTTTTATGGCGGGGAAGTGAAGAGAGTGGCTTCAAAAAATCTTCATGAATTACCAAGAAGATCACAGCAGAGATGCAAGCAGCCCTTTACGTCAGGCCAAGCTGCTCTGCGTCAGGGCCGAAGTGTGTGAAATTACAGAGCAGAATGATGATCTACTGAGCAGCTCAATCATTTCACTGTCTGCTTTTAGTCTGAAATTCATCAACTTTACTTTATGCATTGTGACTGAGACACTCAGGAAGCTACTAATGCACTCAATTAATTCATAAGTGTGCGTGGTATTTCAAACAAGAAATCTTTTAGATATTTATTAAACCATTTGACTTGCTCCACATCTAAACAATGTTCCTTCACATTCCCTCCATCTTTGAAAATCTCCCGTTCAAGCTTAACCTTACTCTCAAATAACAATCTAATTACATATACTTACTTTAAAAGAAAACATGCAAACCGATTGCCTTTTAAAACTAAGTAAATAAACAGCTTCTTCTTTTAAATTACATTGTTCTAAATTACACAGTATTTACCCGTAATATGAACTGTATTTTACTGTAAGTTAGTTATGTGGTTTATTACTGTATTTTAAATTTACATTGTGAAAATCGGTGCATAGTTCACAATACTGTAAATACATACAGTTGAAGTCAGAATTATTAAACAATCATTTCTTTATTTAATAAATGATGATTAACAAAGCAAAGAAATTTTCACAGTATGTCTGATAATATTTTTTCTTCTGGAGAAAGTCTAATTTGTTTTATTTTGGCTAGAATAACAGCAGGTTTTAATTTTTATAAAGCCATTTTAAGGTTAAAATTATTAGCCCCTTTAAGCTATATATTTTTCTGATAGTCTCCAGAACAAACCATCGTTATACAATAACTTGCCTAATTACACCAAGCTGCCTAGTTAACCTAATTAACCAAGTTAAGCCTTTAAATGTCACTTTAAGCTGTATAGAAGTGTCTTGAAAAATATCTAGTCAAATATTATTTACTGTCATCATGACAAAGAAAAAATAAATCTGTGATTAGAAATGAGTTATTAAAACTATTATGTTTAGAAATATGTTGAAGAAATCTTCTCTCCATTAAACAGAAATCGAGGAAAAAAATAAACAGGGGGGCAAATAATTAAGGGGGGTGGGGGGGCTCATAATTATGACTTCAACTGTATATGGCAAGATAATCGGTGCTGTAAATATAGTATTTTTACTGTATTTGATTTACAGTAAGTTACTGATGAACTGCTGCCAGTCGGTTACTGTAGATTCTACAGAAAATTGTTAACAGTGTATACCAGTTGTCTACTCCAAACTGACGAACATTTACACCGAGTAACATTTAGCAACAGTAACATTTACTGTCATTTTTCAGATTTTCACAATTGCATTTACTAGAATAATTATCTAATAATTATGTGTTAAAAAAAATATGCAAACCAATTGCCTTTACGAGATCAAGCATTACAGTAAAATAAACACTACAGTTGATCTTCTTGCAATGTGCATGTTTTAACATATACCAACACTATCAAACAGGGTGACGACTACCACATCAACAACTCTCAATATTGCTAATTAAACAGAGCAAAATATAGATGTAAAACCAAGATTCTGAATCATAGCATGGGAACAAGCTTAACAAAATAGTACTTGTACAAATTCATTTTTCCTTTCTAGAACTATAATGCATTGTACACAAATGGAAGCTATTACGATATGTTTAGAGGTACATCAATAATAGTTGTATATTAAGTAAACGGCTAGTTAGATTTCACAGCGATGTCTATATTCAATAATCAGCTTCATATTTTGGTGAACTTGGTCCTACATGAAGACAGATTGAGCTGATTTTGAAATGACATACATTTTTAGAATTTGAGGTCAGTGAGGTTTGATTTTAATTAATTTATTGTTTTTATATTACTACTTATGCTATGCAAAGTTGTAATAAATGTATAAATTGTGACAATAAAGACTTTCACTAAAAAGCAGCAACAAAATATTTCTAAATTGATTTAAAAAAATATTAAGCATTAAACCATCATATTAAAAGGATTTCTAATTGGTCTAAAGCTCAGCTTTGCAATATCAGGAGAAAATGCATTCAGAAATTATTTAATATTTTCATTATTACTACTCTTTTCAGTATTTATTGAATATTAGATCAAATAATTAAGCTTGGTTATAACATAATAAAAGCCTTTCAGAAACATACAGACGCCAAACTTATAAACATAATTAGATTATGTTAATAACTGACTTTTTTTTAATTAAACAGAAAAAAATTAAAAGCTGATTCAGGCATAACACGACTGTAATGAACAATATGAAATATGAAAACTCATTTTGCAAAAAAATATTTTACACTGTCATCATATTAACAATATTTACGACTGTGGATTAGAAAAATGTAAACATTAGAAAACATTCTCCTTATTAGGCGTTTTATAAAAAAAATTGTCAAACGTTAATGGACACTGACATATTTTTTGATAACAGCTGATAACTGATTTGATATTTTGTATAACATTAACGGTTTACCTTTAGTTTAAGCTTTAAAAAAAAAAATCACTCTATTTAAGCAATGTAACGCTATCTGGAAAAAAAAACCTAGACTCAAATTTCTAAGCATCACAAATAGGCCTATAGTCCATCATACAATGCCTCTTAACCACTGCATTTACCTGCTGAAAGAACGGCAACCAAACACTCTGCAATAGTCCCTGCAGCAGATAATGACCTAGCTTTTTTACACTATGCTGACATTTGAAGCAGAAAATAAATGTGTTTGTCAGAAAAAAAAGTGTTGCAGCGTCTTCCTGTCTGAAGATTACAAAGAGAGGAAATCAAGAATGCGTTTGCATCTCCACCAGACCAGAAAAAAACTATACAACCATAAAAGTCACTTTTTAATTATTCATTGCTCCATAAATCTGATGGAATACATCCTTTGAGCATCTCAATCATCATTGCTTCAACACTTAGCAAGAGTTAAAAACAGCTTGCATGGAGATGAATGGAGACAAATTAGGAAGGAAGCACTAGAAATAATCTCACCAAACTGAAAATCCAAAGGTTGGATTTGACAGAATGACAAATAAACAGGTTTAGAATAAAACAGAAGTGCTTTTATGAATTAGCCTCAAAGTGTATTTTCTACCATCTCCATGTCTCTGTGATTTACTGATATATCAAAATTTTACTTTCAAGTTACACTTATCACATCTGCACCATCACTGTCCTGTCAATTACACAAACATGTAAGCCGCACAGTACCAAAGACAGTAAATATCAAACCTCTTCTAGCTCCTAGTGTCAGGAGGCCTGCTGTGTCATTAAATACAGAGAATTACACAGAAAACAGCCCGCATGGACAAATAAAATTCCTGAAACTTGGACTAGGTGAAAAGACTTTGACCTTTGACCACACACACACATACACAGTGTCACTCACCGATCTTGGCAGTTTCAGCTCTGAAGGTGCTGAAGTCCCAGTTGCGAGGTAGTCTCAGAGACATTTCTTCAAAATTGGACAAAACAGGTTACACACACTCAATCAGACTGGCACACATTCTGTCGCTCACACATACACACACACACACACACACACACACCAAACAAACACAAAACACACAGTGAATTCAAGAGTACATTCTTTCCAGTCAGCCTCTCTGCTTCTCTGTACTTCCTCCTTCCTCTGCTGATCTGATTCTTCTTCTTGTTTTTTTTTTACACTTCCAAACACGTTGAATCTTGCCCCTCGGCTCGCCTGCAGATTTTGTGTGACCAAACCAAGTTATTTTGTAGTTCCTACATTCAGTGTGTCTGTCAGAATGCACAGAAACAGCAGAGTTGAACAGTCACCCATCAAACCCACAACCTTCAAGTGTTGAGGAAGTCGATGGCAAACATCGAGTCACAGAAAAAAATTGCAAGAGCTGATGAATTTACACACAGGCGAATGTTCAGACAACAACTGTACAGGATGTACCTCAACCAAATGGGGCCATTTTCTTCAAATGACATCTGTCATCCTTCTCTTGAAGAGATGCACCATTTGCTGATCGTATAAAAAAGCATTTGGGCATCTAAAATGGACACAAAACTGTTTCTGTCATCATTAGAAAATAACTGCATTCGACATAAATAGGAAGTTCAAGTAAGCAAGAGGAAGAGAAGAAGTTTTGATACTGTATATATATTTATACTGAGCTTTCCTCTTTATTAACCATTTACAAATGAGCAAATCACTGTACACAAAGCGACAGGGAAAGCACATTTATCTGCTTTATCAAAATAGTACAAAACAAAAAAGTACAACAGAAATAGCTTACAGATTATATAGTGACAAAACAACAACAACATATAGACCTGTTGTTGTTAGTTTGTTCAACAGAGCAACACAAACCAAAAAACAACACCGAGTGGGTTAATGTTTCTGTTTTAAATTAAGTTTGATGAATAAATTAATTAATCAATTAGAAAGAAAGTAAGTAAAAACCAAGAGAAAGCACAACCGCACTGCAGTCAGTGTCTCTCTGACACAAGAAACTGTTGCCAACACCTCAACTTTAGCATCATTGCTAATAAGGATCAAATGTCATGGTAGTGTTTACATATGATAAACAGCATCAGGCTCAAAACATAATGAACAATATATAATGGTCTCTTTCCATTTGAACTTTAAGCATATAAGATCCCAATGGTTTATCGCCCTCTAGAGGCCATAAAGAGTACGCGCATGAATTTGAAGCAATCGCAAAACGTAAGAAACCAACGGCTCCCTCTGACAGGAACACATTTAGCCATTTTTATACAAGACTTTTGTTAAATTTTATGGTTTTTGTGTATGGTACCGAAATCATTTCTAAGATCAGTCTTTTGATACCTGCGGTTGGCCAGCAACATGACGGGTGTGCAACACTCTTGTTTTGACACTACAGAACATTGACATTTAACGTCGAGTCGTACATTGTAAGCTGTTTCAGCACAAGGGCCTATGTACTTTACACAGAGCACAGACTGGCTTAAATACAATTTAAATACTCAAAAGTGTAATAATAAAATCATTTCTATACGTCACACATATGCATATGTAGCCTACTTTTAAATCTGTATTGTATGTGATCCTACACAAAACTAAAAAGATAAACGGAACTAAAATGCAGTGAAGGAATAATAATAATAATAACAAAATTAGCTTAGAAATTATTTATGCACCGCCAAACACTTAAAGATCCAAGTGTAATTTTTCCACTAGAAAAAAATGCACATGCATTTATGAAGGATCGTGATAAAATGGAGGGGCTTCAAATATTATACACTGATTGATGTTTTCAACAGTGTAATAACCACATGCAGGAGTTAAATGAAAAATAAAAAGACTCATTCAAGCTGTACAAGTATATAGCTTAGGTAATAAATTGCTTATAACTAGGGACATACAGAATCTGCAGACACGTTTTGCTATTTCTGCACTGAATTTTGTAAAAAAAATTGCAGATGTGGAATGATTTTTTGAGTATCATTACTTAAAAACTTAATATGTTAAATTAAAAAATAATACCTTTTTAACTTATTTAATGTTCACAATGCAAATCCAATTAGATCCACTTATTTGGTAAACAAAGTCTCTCATGTATTAGAGACCTGCAAAAGGACAGAAAATGTTAACTGTACTGTAAATAAATCATATGAACATTTTATATTAGTCAATAATATTACTGAAATTAATCTAATTTAAAAATTGAAAAAATATATAAATTTACACACCTTTACACAAGTAAATAAATACACTCAACAATGGATTTAAAAATCTGCAGATTACACGTGGGGCTACTTATAACTCTTTCAAGACCTGTGGGCACAGAAATAGTGTTACTGTATATTAATTCAGCATATCAGTCACATCAATACACAGGCCTGAAAGCTGATGTGCTCATGGATCTTTATTGATGTATGGCAGTGGACTGTACATAGACTGTGGCTTACAGACTAAACTGAGCCAATTACAACCTCAAACACTTGACTGTTTATGCACTACTATATTAAAGCTGCTCGATGACACTCAGTTTTTTCATGAAATATGGTGTATGGCACATGTCAATGACTAACGTATTAAAAGAGAATAAAATACCTTAAGCAAATCACAAAATAGACACTCGTTTTGGATTGAGTTTTTTTAGCTGATGCTAAGAATTCAACAGATGGGCCATAAAATATGAGGAAGACTTGGTCTCATGCAGTGAAAATGGTACCAAAGACATTGTCATACGAAATGAGCATGAAAACCAAAACCCAAGCAATGCGCAACCTGATTTTACCAACTAGCTTGTAACAGTTCACAAACACAGAAACAAAGAAAGATCTTAAATAAGAAGTGTTCGGCTTAAATTACAATAAAACTAAAAACAATACAATTTTGTTTTAGAGCTTAAACAATTTCTGAAATGTAACATTCAGTGTGAAATTTTTGTCGACATTTCACATTTCTTTTCAGTGCTGAGTAACAACAAATTATTTAACTATGCGTAACAGTTACAATAAAAGTTATATCTCATTAATTTGGCTTACGAAAACAAAGACAGGGCTTCATAACTGTTGTCTGACAAGGCCTGAACTTCCTCCTAAACACAAAATAATGGAATCTTTATCTTCAGGAGGAGCAGTATATGTACAGTCTCACACAGCTGAACTGTAACCATCACCACCTACTGAGCGGAAACATGTTTGATAACCATATTCCTCTTGGGAAAACAACATGAATTTATGACACTGCATTGGAATTGCAATCCTTCACGGAACTTTAACTGGGTATAGATACTCTGTTCATCAAAAAATAAAGGCTAGCCTGAGTTTGAAATGACAGTGTGATGAGCAGTGAATTAAAATCAATGTAAAACATAATAAACACTATAAAATATGCAGACAATCTATAGGTACAGAACATTTGTACACAAGTGGAAATATACAGCTCAACTAACAAAGAACTGTAACAACAATGGCATCTCAATATATATAATATTCTTTTGTGGCATAAGAGATAAACATAAAAAGTTCACAAAAAAATAAAATAAGAAGCAAAAACACTGATTTGCACATACACGCACGCACACACACACACGCACGCGCGCGCGCGCACAAACACACACGCACCCACCCACACAGAAAATGGAATGACCCAAGGTTTATAGTTCAGTTTTCCGTTGTTTCCCTTCTTTTGTTCCTCATCTCCCACTTGCATACATGCCTGGATCTGCTTAACTCTCCTCTCTCTGTCTACGGTGGGATGTCCCTGGTGGTCCCAGAAGTTAGGCTGCTTCTTCCAGGGCAGGAAGCAGGCCTTTCTCTGTCAGATGAGCCTTGAGCGAGTTGAAGATGTGGAGCTGTTGGTCTGGTCTCAGAGCAAGAAGCTGCTGGATGACTTTTGAAGGGTTTGGCCCTCTAAATGAGAGGAAGGATGAAGCACAATGTTTAAACGCTATAGGGCCCTATCATACACCTGGCGCAATAAGGCGTGAGATGTGTCTCAGTTAGTATTTGAACCAACGACCTCCTTGCTGTGGGGCAACAGTGCTAGCTACTGAGCCATCGTGTCGCTCAAACTTAGAATTGAGAAGGAGGGAGAAGGGATAGATGGGGGGTCCAAAACGAAGATGTGGAATGAAGTTTAGGCTGGATATTTATATTGAATTTAGAGTGATCCGATTGGCTAGTTAGTGATTAGTGATAGGGATCAGCTGTAGTCAATCCTATCATGTGCTCCTCTCAAAATTAGTTTAAGAAACTTAAACATAAGAATATAATGTTTTTTTGGACATAACTCAGTTTATCGACCACACCTCGTTATTATTGTTCATTTATTCATTTGCTGGAAATTAAGACTAAAATTAGAAATAATGTTGAAACAAATCTTTGCGCTTAATAAGCAAAATTAAATATGTAGGCTAATGGAAGTCTTCAGTGGAGTGAGTTTCCACCACTTCCTTATCCACAAAATTAAAGTAAAGAGTAAAAGTAAAGTGGCCGAATGGAGGAGGCTCATTCTTTATCACTGTAGATAGTCTGTATAACTGTTTTCTCGCTAGTGAAGCATTTAGTTTTTCCACTTACAAAGTTCGCCATGTAAATAGCAAATATAAATAGCCATGGTGCTATGCAACTGACTTTTAAAAGAAAATGGGAGATGAAACTTTGATTGGTTTAATGCATATTACACTCAAAACACACCTAAAACTCATTAAAAAGAATAAGCACAACCCTGTTAGACCATGTGCCAGGATGAAAACCATATTTTTTGGTCCTTAAGAAAAAGTGGATTCGAACACACCCTACGCTTTAGACTTTGCGCCTAGATCGTTAAAATAGAGTCCATAGTCTCATTTACATCTATAATACTCTGGATATTATAATGTAACTAAATATAAAATGAATGTAATTACACTAGCTTATTTTTTCATACAAGTGCATAGAAAAGGAAAATTAAGAGATGACTTCGAAATTCAAAATTTCTCTGGATTAAAATGTTACTTCAAAAATGTAGAGCAATTATAGTTTGCAAAAAATAACATAATAAAAATTCCATGAATTTATGTCAGAAATTTATTTAATCTTTAGATAAAACAACAACAATGTTTTAACTTAAAAATGTTAAGAAATCCAAATTTATCAAAATGTAATAAATGTTTGAGCTCCAAATCAACATATTAGAATGATTTTTGAAGTATATAAAATATGAATGTTATATGAAAATGATTAGTCAAAACTAAGTAATGACTTCTAAAACATAGCTTTTGCATTACAAAACTAAATATTATTACATTTTATTGTGTTTCAAAACATGAAAAATAAACAATTGAACAAACAACTGAACAATAATGATGCAATGTAAATTTAGAATAACAGTCGTACCTGATGAAGCTGGCAATATAAACATTTACGAATGTGGCCATGAGATACTGACAGTCAAAGCGGTCCATGATCCCTCCATGACCTGGAATGGTGTTTGCAAAGTCCTGCACAGATGGACAATCACGAAGACAGATTGAGCAGAGTGTTAAACACAGGACAGGAGCATCTAAATGAGTCTTTAAGGGCTGTTTTTTCATATACAGTGACCTATTGTATGTCAAAAGACTAAGATAAATGATTTCTCAATTCATGACTCCTTTAAGACTGAACTATCGTGATGATCTGTGAGAGTATGAATTAAACTCACCTTGATTTTGAAGGCCCTTTTGAAGCCACTAGCGAAAAAGCCTCCAAACGGTCCCATGATGGAGGCAAAACTAGACAAGGCGATGCTGTGGATCTGGAATGGGTACAGCTTCACTGTGGTCTATTAAGACAATGGGAGAGAGATGGAAATGTGTAAGACACTGACTCCATTTATTTTTCTACATTCAAATTATGCAGCACTCAAAAAAAGATTCTGCTAATGCAATTTTGTTGTACAAGCAATGTTGGCAGCGACAAACACTGGACAAGAAGCAGAGCCGTGACAGAATCAACAGATGGCCATGTCTGAGCAACTGGTAAACACAGACACAAAGATCAGAAAAAAAAAGAGAATGGTGAAGGAGAAACAAGTGCGAGACATGTGGAGTAAGTGTCAAACAGAATGTGTGCATGCGAGTGTGTATTTTGTATTATTACCCAGCCAGTGATGGACTGAAGTACAGATGGCAGGCTGTAGTCTTGAAGCTGGAAGAGCTCAGATGGCTGACAGTCCACTGTAAATCTGTTGGAGTCGTTGTTGAACTCTACCGGACACACAAAGTAGCTGTAACCTGCCATCACATAGGACAGCTAGAGAGAGAAAGAAATTGTTAGTATTCAGATGCATTTTATTAGTGTTTCGAGAACTTTAAAAGGCGTCAAACAAAAGCAACTGTTATTATTATTTTACCAAGGATTCCAAATCTACATAATAACATTCAGCGAAGAGCAGAAAGTGGATTAGTACTCACTAAAATTCCAAAAACAATAGTGGAGAAGAAGCCACCGATAAACCCTTCCCATGTTTTCTTAGGAGACAACTGTAGAGAAAAATCAATGCTAATAAAATTACTAATAGATCACAGCATTAGAGAAAGTATGCAGATATTTAAGCCACACACAAAAAAACATTAATAAGCTGCATTCGAAAAAAAAAAAAAAAAAACACATTTCAAAAACAAAGGATTTTTTAAACATCATAAAACAGAACTTACAGCGGGGAAAATGAGTCCTGTTTTTCCTGGGAATAATATTTCTAAATGAGCTGTTGACATTAAATGGAACCAGATTTTGGTAAAAATCCATACAAAACATAAAAATAAAACAAAACATATGTGTCTTATATGTGTAAGAACAATGAAATGACACAAAGTCAAAGTACTGAACTACTGAAACATTTATTACTCTATATAAAAGGCTTTTTTGGCTGAGGGTAGGGTAAAGACACTTTTCATATGGAGAATGAAGTCACATGCATTACTCAGGTGAGAGTTTCACAGACTTCAACAAAGTTTAAAAATCCTGATGGCACTCTGGTCTCATCAATCAAATCTGATCTTTAGTTTGTATTTTCTATTGGATTCAAGTCAGATGATTGGCTGGGCCATTCTACAGCTTGACTTTCTTTCTCTGAAAGCTTTGGATAGTTTCCTTGGCTGTGTTTTGGATTATTGTCTGGCTGAAATGTCCACTATGGTTTAATCTTTATCATCCTGATCATGTAGACGTTGGACTGAAGCAGCTAATATTCATTTACAATGATAAAGGGCAAAGGCATTGTTGAATAACTACTGAGAGATTTCAGCTGCTGTCTGGGCTTTCACTGCCTTTCTACACCTCCCTTTATTCATGTGTTCAATACTTTTTCCCTGAGCCATTTAATTTCAACATGCATAACTTAATTTGTAAGTTAATTCGATTTATTTCTTTGCATATATGGATTTTCTTGGTTGTTACCAACATCAGGGGAACATTTCAAGTCAACAGCACTTTTAGAAAAGTTTTCTGAGAAAAATGGTCATGTGTTATACAATACTTATTTTTCCTGCTGTATATATAAACCAGTCAAACTTATGTACACTACATTAGTGGATCACATTTATGGGTAACATGCTATCTAAATATATCAGCTAGGATGGTATACGTCCACATCCACTAAGACCAGCTGATTAAAAACACCTGCTAAAATTATTAGTAAGGCTTAATAGATTAAATACAACTTTAATACACTCCGGTTCAAAAATGTGGGGTGAGTCAGACTCACCGAATTGACAAAAAGCTAATGACCTATATTCTAATATATAAATAAAGACATGTGAAATTAAAAGAAAAAGAGTTAAAATCTTATGGACAAAAACCCAAAAATATAAATGCTGTTTAATTTTTTTTATATATATATATATATATATATTAAAAAAGCATTCAAAGAAGAATTGTGTTTCTTCATCACCAAATCAGCATTTTAGAATAATTTTCTATTAATAATGATCATGTTACATTAAACACTGAAGTAAATATGTTGAAAATGCAGCTTTTTAAAGGAAAATATACATTGTTATCAACATTTAAAAATAACTAACTGTATTTTTGAACAAATTAAAACATGCTTGGTGAGCATAAGTGTTTTCTGACAACCTTTTACTATAATCCAGAAGCAAATAGTATATGGATATTAAACAATACTATTTAACAGTAATACTGTGATGCTAAAAGCACAAACCTTGATGAGTGGGGTGCGACCGAAAAAGAAGCCAAACATGTAAGCCATGATGTCATTACAGATAACGCAGGATATGGGCACGATAAACCTGCGCACACAAACAGATCCTCTTATAAAAGATTAAACAACCATACTGTATCCAATGTTCAGAAATGACATATGGGTCAAAGGGGTTATATTGGGGGTTTGACCGAGGTGTGCAGCAGGCATCATCTTACCAAATCATTCCCTCGAATAGGTTATGAATGATTAAGTGGGACTGAGTCACTACGATCAGCAGGGTCACATGAGTCCAGCCGAACTGCGGAAAGAGAGAGACTGGATGAATAGCTCTATTCACTTTAAATCTGGGACAAAAGGCAGTGCTGTAACAGGGAAGAGATGTAAAGTTTAACTGACAATCACGAATACCAGTTAACATGTTATGAAGGCTGACATGTGTTACGTATAGTGTAGTATGTTGCATGTGGAACCACTGGGTGTGTCCATATTCGATTTATTCATGAAAGCAGTTCCCGAGGCTGTCCACAAACTCACAATTGTGATCATGGCCAACCAAGTACTTGCATAGAATATTTCCTGTATTTGGCTTAGGGCTGTGCAGTATGACAGTGTATATATTCTGTATTATTTTAAATGGACAATATCATTTAATATTATTATGTGGTGTTACATATGTTAATTTTACATAATTTATTTTGTGGTGTTACAAAATGCATTGTTTACAGTAATGGATGGTGTCCACCGAAGCGTTTTTTTCTGCAGCAAAAACACAAGAGCTGCTGTAGAAAAGAAAAGGCTCAGCTGTGAGTGCTTCTTTGACCATCAAAGTTTTAAAATACACAGCGCACTCAGAGAAGAGTGCAAGACACACAATCAATGCCTTTAAAACTCAATGTAGAACACTTCGGTGGACACGCACCTTAATACTTTTTCATAATTTATACAAGCACAATATTACAGACCATTATGGGAATGCAGACAGAAATATGAATAACAGCATCGTAATAAAGTAAAAATTCAGAAAGTACATTTTATTTATTCATATTTTTTTTATTTTAAAGTTGGACAACTAACCATTTTTTAATTTATTTTATTTATATTTATTTTATAGTTCTACATCTGCCCAGAAGTTCAAAATAAAGTGAATTAAGCCTGCATTATGTTGAGAAAAAAAACGATTTGCAATATGCGACATAAATATGATTTCATATCAACAATGACTCTATAAGGAAATAATTAATCTTTTTACATTGATAGGGAGGATTTTCTAGGGAAGTGAGCATCTGGATAAGATCAATTAAAGCACAGATGAAAACAGTAGAGCAAAGATAACATTTGCCTCTTCAACTGCTCCAGAACGCAGCAGCACGAGTGGTCTTCAATGAACCTAAACGAGCACATGTCACTCCGCTGCTAGTCCGTTTGCACTGGCTGCCAGTCGCTGCTCGCATCAAATTCAAAGCTCTGATGTTTGCCTACAAAGTGACTTCTGGCCTTGCTCCTTCTTATCTACTCTCACTTCTGCAGATCTATGTGCCCTCCAGAAACTTGCGTTCTGTGAATGAACGTCGCCTCGTGGTTCCATCCCAAAGAGGGAAGAAATCACTTTCGCGAACGCTCACGCTCAATCTGCCCAGTTGGTGGAATGAACTCCCTAACTGCATCAGAACAGCAGAGTCACTCGCTACTTTCAAGAAACGACTAAAAACTCAACTATTTAGTCTCCACTTCACTTCCTAATCTGCAATTGCCTCTCTGAATATCACACTAACTGTACCCAAAAAAATAATAATAATAAAATAAAAAAAATACTAATACTACTAATACTTTTCTTCTTAGACTTTACAGACCTGAAACTTGCCTATAGCACTTTTCATTGTTGCTCTTAGATGTGTAAATTGCTTCCTTGTCCTCATTTGTAAGTCGCTTTGGATAAAAACGTCTGCTAAATGACTAAATGTAAATGTAAATATATTTGTTCCAATATCGAAGTACAGAAATTGAATAATCAAATGTAAAAAACACTGAAAAGTCTTCATTTTAAAAGACACAATTAATCTTTATTAAAGTGCCTAACTTTTTTCATTTCTTGTGTCCAAATGGTTTTAATTTACTTAAATTCTGCAATGTGACTACTGCAGATTCAAACATTGTGATATCGATGCTAAAACAATACATAGTAAAGTGCTAGAGTGAATTTAAAGAAATGGTAGTATACCCATATAAATAAATAAATAAATAAATAAATATATATATATATATATATATATATATATCGTTATCAGAATAGAATATGAGATTTCGGTCTAATTTGGCTCATGTGTTGTAGTTGGCATAAAGATTGCAATTAAATGCTAAATGTCTTGGGTATTTGAAGCTGTAGAACAGGCTAATACTGCCACATTAAGACTCACTCACCATGTAAAACTGTAGGCGATAGTGTTTCTTCACCAGGCTCAGAACAAACATGCAGAACCCTGTAAAGGACACAGACATCTGGTAAAACAGACAATTCCACCAATGCCATCAGCACATGTCTATGTGGCTAAATTTAGATAAGTCACGCGGTCACTAATTATCCTGTTTCACAGGAACCAGCTAGAAGACAAAAAAAATCCTGTTCAAATCTCCACAGTATTAAATAATTTGGTTTAAAGGTTCATCTAACAAATGTATTTTATGGACATTGAAAGCATAATAAATGCAAGTAAAGTGTCTGCTTTAATGTTTAATGTCAAGTAATTTCTGCAAAAATAAAATGTTAAAATGTGTGTGAAAATGATTGTTCCATCATCAATCAAGGTAAATAATAATTTTATGTAAAAGCTAAATAAATATTTATGAAACCACACACTTATTCTCTACTGTACTTGTAAAAATTTGTATTGAGAACATTTATATACATGACATTCTAAATTATTTTGAAAAATCAATTTTGTCTTTGTATGTTTATTACTTCAACTAACAGTAGAGGAAAAAAAGCATTCAGCACGTCACCATTTTCTCAGAAAACATATTTCTAAAAGTGCTGTTGACTTGAAATTTTCATCAGATGTTGGTAACAACCAAAGAAATCCAAATATGCAAAGAAAACAAATCAAATTGGTTTACAAATTTGGTTATGTGAAATAAAATGAAATAAAAAAATATTGAACACATAAAGAAGGGGAGGTGTGTAAAGGCAGTGAAAGCCCAAACAGCAGCTGAAATCTCTCAGTAGTTCTTCAGCAACCCTCTGCCCTTCCTCATTGTAAATTAATATTAGCTGTTTCAGTCCAACATCTATATTATTAGGAAGATGAAGATGAAACCAAGGTGGACATTTCAGCAAGACAATGATCCAAAGCACAACCAAGGATACTCTCAAATGCTTTCAGAGAAAGACAATTAAGCTGTAGAATGGCCCACCCGATCACCTGACTTCCATTCAATGGAAAATACTAAATAAAGATTGAATTTGATAGACGAGACCCACAGAACCATCAAGATTTTTACACTGTTGAAGTCTGTAAATACAAATCACACCTGAGCAATTCATGTGACTTTATTCTCTATATGAGAGGCATCTTTAAGCTGCCATTACAAAAAAAGCTTTTCATATAAGGTATTAAATACATATCAGTAGTTCAGTAGTTTTTCCTTGTGTCCTTTTATTATAACACCTAACCATTTTTTAAAAGATTTTTTTGGTTTTGTTTTATTTTTATGTTTGTATTTTTACCAAAATCTGGTCAATTCAATGTCAACAGCTCACTTCACAAAAAAAAAAAAAAAAAAAAAACGGTGTTCAATACTTTTCCCATTGTATGTAAGCTGATACATTTCACAGTGTTTAGATACATGCACGGTTAGTGTATATGTTGAGTTTGGGGTGCTTAAATAATTAATCTTGTATAATTTTCTTTTATTTGCACATTAATTTTTCATATTAAAAAGCCATGTTTGCTGCGATGTACTAACTGAACATTCTAACTAAATTTTAAAATAATATGCGACTTGTTGCTTGTCATTTAGCTGAAGATGAAATCTGCTGTGTTGCATCATTCTGTAGTAGAAAAAGAGCGAGGGGTGCAGACGCAGACGGAGAGAGAGCATAACCACATCCTGAATGAAATAAACTTAAAAAAAAAAAAAAAGTCAGTTAAAGTCACCACTAGTGCATTAACACTACTGGTGTTAATGCTAAACACATCTTAAAGTCCTCATTTGAGAAGACTTCCAACATTCAGCATAGCAACCGAACTGGGCAGCAAGTTTTACTTCTAAAATGCCCTTAAAGCCTTCATTAACACCACTGGTGTGCATTCCAACCTGTGAGGTACAGGGCAAATGAAATGAAGCGATGGTATTTGCTGAGGATTCGAAGAGGCTCCTCCCGCTGCACCAGAGTGAAGAAATAATCTGTCACTGTTTCCCCATAGAAGAAGTAGTTCACACACAACAGGAAGTACCTGTGGAAAGCCGTTATGAACAGCCGTCAGACAACATTATGACAAAGGCTTTTCACATGCATTCATTAATCAAAGTGTTTCTAATGGTAATTATAATGGGCCCATGTGAACGCAATAGGAGATGTTGGAAATAGACTGTTGCTGATCAGCAGCACAATAGGATTATGAACACATGGCTCTGAAATGGTTGCACTTACATCTGATTTGACAGATAATTCATCTACAAAACCTAAAAACTAAAAGAAAGTTCACCAGTGTTTGAAACTGTGAATCGCTCATGAACGGAATTTTACAATTTTCCCAGACACAAGAGAATCGATTGAGAATTAGTACAGTAAAACACTGCAAAGTTAAAATGTGTCAATGTTTTCTGATACAGCGAAGTGATTTAATCTATAATTGAGAATTTTAAAGAAGTGATAGATTCCTAATTTAAAAGAGTGCCTGAGTGCCCAAAGTCACAAAAAATGACATCAAAAAAGTCATCTAAAACAGTGTTTGGCTTTTTCAAAAGTCAAACAGATTTTATTAAACTATTAGAATGACCATATTTTATCCATAACCAACTTAAGAACAAAATGGTAGTTCATAGTAACATTGTTGACATGCTAATATTAAACATTAAAAAAAACATGCAAATAAAAAGGCATCAGCCTTTCAAAAAATTTTACGACTATGTGATTATGTTATAATTAAAGACACAGCGATAGCGTCATATGAAGCAGATTGATTTGATGGCATCAGGTTAAACTTTCTGACACCTTTACAGCACTCACATACATTAAAAATAAACACATGCCACAACTGAACATGGAGGATGGTCTCCGAGTGGCGTTCTCCAAAAATAAACAATGAACAGACTTGGGCCTTTTGGTATGTGTGTGCCGTTGTGTGCAAGGTTTATTTATTTATTAATACCTCACAGAATTTTGGTGGTCGTGAGCCACTGCCATTGTTATTTCAGGGGTCTCGTACTGAAGTTTGGGAACCCCTGATCCAAAATCTTTCTATACTATTCTATATACTATTCTATAATAACTAACACTATAAAGTTTTTATTAAGCATTAGCAAATAGTTAATTACTCATTTGTAAAGCAATAACTCTCCATTAAAAGACATTAGTAAGCGGTTAATAACTACAGCTACAATCTTGATTAATAAGCACATTATATTATGTGCTTAATGATTGTATTTTCATTCTTTGCTAATGATTAATTTAACTTTGCTAAATTAAGTATTGCATTATTTACAGACCAATCATCAACCAAGTAGCTGGTGTCTTTATTAAGATCATTCAAAATAAGAAAGTAAACGCTCAATTACATATTTTAATGAACACTGATACACCTTTTTTCCAGGTATATAGTAAGAGTTATTCTGGATGTTAATAAATACTTAACACATCTTCATGCAGTTTTGTGACCTAATCTAACATGAATCATATTAAGCATGAGCAAATAGTTAATTAATCAATAGTATAGATATTAAAAAGTGTTACAGTTGTTTTTTCATAAAATTGGCAAAAAGTTTTCATAGTGAAATATGCCATTTCTTACTGTGATTCTCTATAAAACCTTGGTCACACTTTACAATAAGGTTCTATTAGTCATTCATTCATTTTCTTTTCGTATAAGTCCCTCCACTAATCTGGGGTCGCCAGAGCGGAATGAACAGACAACTTATCCAGCATATGTTTTACGCAGCGGATGCCCTTCCAGCTGCAACCCATCACTAGGAAACACCCATACACTCTCATTCACACACTACAGACAATTTTAACTTTGAACTTGTGGGAGGAAACCGGAGCACCAGGAGGAAACCCATGCGAACACGGAGAGAACATGCAAACTCCACACAGAAATGCCACCTGACCCAGCCGAGGCTCAAATCAGCGACCTTCTTGCTATGAGGTGACAGCACTACCTACTGTGCCACCGTGTCACCCAGGTTCCATTAGTTAATGTCTTAATGTTTTATTACTAAAATAAACTTATATTAAACAATACTTGTACAGTAAAGCATTAATCATAGTAAAACATTTAATAATGCATTATTAAAATCCACATTTGTGCTTATTAACACTAGCTAAAGTTAACAGAAATGAACAATAAACAACTTTTTTTTCATAAACTAACATTGACAAATATGAATAAACAGTATAATAAATGTGTTGTTCATTGTTTGCTAATAAATGAACTTACATTAACTAATAGAACGTTGTTGTGAGGTGTAACCAAAATTTTGAACTCAACTATATTTAATTAGGGATCTTTCACTCATTACTACTTATATTTGCCAGATATATCAAATGTTCAACCCAAACCCTGAATATTAAAAATGCATAATTAAGCGAGATTTTCACGTTTACAAAACATGGTGAAAAGTTCCAGAAAACACTAAAAACAACTACAACTACTCTACAGTTCGACAGCGGTCTAAACCAGAGTGATTTTCTCATACCTCTATACAGCTGGTGATAGATAGCATGTATAGCTGGATGAATAAACAAGTGCAGTGGTTACTATTTTAACAAAGAAAATGAAACAACTTTTAAGACATCAAGACAGAGCTGCATTGTGAACAAATGCAAGGGTCATGCTTTACAATAAGGTTTCATTAGCTAATGTATTTACAAAAATAACTAATAACGAACAACAATTATACATCATTTATTAAATATACAATTAATATTAAAAATGAAAAACTTTATTTTCATTTAGTGAAAGTAACCAAGATAAATAAATACTGTAATTAATGCTTGCTTGCACGCCAGCAATCTAGTCCTTGCAGATGGCTGGAAAACATTCACTATTTCCCGAACTACAATTCTGCCACTGAACTGCACTACATTTCCCATCGTTCACCTCACACACAAGTTCCGGAGCACCACTGATTACTTTCACACAGCTGTAGCTCATGAAGACTGATTAGTTGGACTATTTTTAAACCTCACTTTCACATACACATTGCCGTGTCTTGTTTTCCTGTAGCATTACAGTGCGTTTTATTGTCTAGCCTAGCCTTGTTTCCTGAACCTTGCCTTGTTTGTCGTTTACGTTGTTTGTCACTTGTATCGACCTGCTTGCCTGTGACCACGATGATGACTTTGAATTTTCCTCATGATTCTGTTTTTTCCTGTTTTGATTATTTCCTACATGACTCTGAGTTAATAAACTGCATTTGGACCCTCGACTCCATTGTACCTTGGCATGTTACTCTTTGTTTGTTTGTTTGTTTCTTTCTTTCTTTCTTTCTTTCTTCCTTTCTTCCTTCCTTCCTTTCTTTGATTTATCTTTTGATTTATAACAACTTTTTAAAACATTCTCTTATACTATTTAAAAGTATGCATTCTCTTAAAATATGTTTTATGTTAGTAAATACACTAACATGAACTAATACAACCTTATTGAAAGCGTTAGAAATGAGGGTGTGGATGATGATGATACCCTCATTTACAGACAAAGACAAGTAAACTATAAGGTAAGAAATAATAATGAGAGCAGGAACAGACAGGGAGACATTGAAGTGTGAAAGTAAAGGCGACAGGTGTGTTTTGGAGGTCTTACCAGCTTAGTGTTCTGAACCAGGGCAGGTCGTAGGAGTGATACACACTGTAACCAATTGTGATGATCTCCTGGAAACACTTGATCTGAACGCACAGCACCTGTGGAACACACACAGAGGACAATAATAAAACCAACAGGCCGCCTACTCTGCTGTGCTACATCAAGCTGTTTTAGAAAGTGAGAACGCATACTGCGTGTGTGTGTGTGTGTGTGTGTGTGTGTTGCTCTATTTGGCAGGAAATAATGCGTTTTAAATGATTTATAAACAGCTTGGATGGAATGATATACCATAGTGGTTTCCGGCCATTGTTAAAAATGTATAATTTTGGCTAATTAATTGTGGACAACATTTTTTACATAGTTCTGGATATTAGATTATCATTCATTCATTTTCCTTCCCTTAGTCTCTATATCAGAGGTCGGCAAAGCAGAATGAACATCCAACTATTCCAGCCTGTTGGATGCCCTTCCAGCTGCAACCCAGTACTGGGAAACATCCATACACACTTATTCACACACACACTCATACTCTTTGGACAATTTAGTTTATTCAATACACCTATAGTGCATGTCTTTGGATTGTGGGGGAAACTGGAGCACCCAGAGAATACCCGCATAAACACGTGGAGAACATGCAAACTCTACATAGAAATGCCAACTGGCCCAAGCAGGAACTCCAATCCGCGACCTTCTTGCTAAGAGGCGACAGTGTTAACCACTAAGCCATTGTGCCCCCCTGATATTAGATTACATTGCTCCAAACTAGTTTTATTACTAGTGTTAACTAATATAGTATTATTAGTGGAGAATTTTCTATTCCAGTTAATTTATTCAGTAGTAAACATTTTTAAATTGTCTAATATTTTATATATCCAATGCTTTTTACCTTATTATTAATAACAGTATCAGTGTTGTTGTATTTATGTTAAAGAAATGTTTCACTCAAAATTAAAAATATGTTCTAAAATAATGTGGTTCCCATTCTTGATGGTTTTTCTTTTACTGAAAAAAAAAGAAAATATTTTAAAGAATATTAAAGGCCCATAGCCATTGACTTCAACAGAATTTAGTTTCTATTATGGATGTCAATGGCTACAGGTTCCTAACATCGTTTAAAATGTATTCTTTTGTGTTCAACTGTAAAAGAAACTGCTAAGGTTTGCAACCACTTGCAGGTGAGTAAATATGAATTTTTGGTTGAACTATCCATGTAAGCATTTCAATAAAGCCGTTTTTTAACAGTTCTTTTACATTTAGCACTTCAGTTGGACTAAAGAAAATGAAACACAAGACACATCACTTGTATAGTTTTGAATAGGGAAAAGTGTAAATGAAGCCCCGCCTCTACTACAGGAGCCTATCATTGATCGCTTCAGACTGACGATTCTCTGGGGAAGGAGCTCAAACCAGATGTGAGTTTCTGAAGATTTTTGTGTGAATTAAACTTTTAGAAATTAAACTTAAGAGTAAGTTGTTTAAAATTTTAATGGTGTGTGCAAATATGAAATTTAACCATAAGCTTTGCTAGCAATTTTTGACAATTTGATGTTTCCCCATTTAAACAGAATGCCTTAGCATACTGCCTGAGATGTGTTTCAAAGATGGCCAGAGTGAAATTATTTGTCATAAAGAGACTTTGGTTTAACTCCATAATTATTTCTTACTTGTATTTTAGTTGCCCTAAAATTAGACTTTGATATCTAGCCAGCTCAAAAATAATAATTATTCATATTTGATACTACGAAGTAAAATGTAAAGCCTAAATTAACATAGGCACAGCTTTGACCATTTAAAGACTACTGAACTGGGTGTTTAGAGTATTTCATTCAATGCTACATAATCATATGCTAACATTGCTAGCAGCTATAACATGGAAATAATAATCAGCTCCAATATTCGCAACAGTCAATCATGGAATAAAGTGGATAGTGATTATGCAAAGAGACTAAAACGCAGTCTCATAAGCACATCTGCAGAACTACTCCAAGACAAGCGATTCTCCAGCTCATAATGAGCAAAATGTTTAATATCGCTAACAAAATAATAAATAACATCAATGTCCATCTGTCATGTCTAAAAACAAAAACACCAAAGAGAGGGCATGTCAACATTAATTGCTTTGCGACTCTCCTCTGAAATATCATCTTGTTTATTTCCTATCAGTGTCATCATCCATATTAATATATTCCAGAGCCAGGGCAAACACTCCTAAGTGAGTTTAAAACAGTCTGGGGAGACCGGTTTGGACAGCCTAAGGGTAAATTAGCAGCAGATTTACAATTTTGGTTGAACTATTCCATAAGATCTTCTCTTGCAATAAATTACAAATGTCTCCCTGCTTTCATAAGCAGCACTGGCTTAATTTAATCTTGCATTTTGCCTCTGTCAGGCTAATCAGATTTGTTAAAGGGATAGTTCACCCAAAAATGAAAATATACCCACTATTTACTCTCTTACAAGTGGTTTCAAACAAGGGCTGCGCAATGTATCATTTCAGTATGGATATCGCAATGTGCGCAACCACATTAGTCACATTGCAAGATATGCAATGTTGTGTCTGAATTATAGTTGAACAGAAACCATACAATTGCATTTAATTACTGCATTTATATAGAATATATAGGCCTGTCACAATAATCTATATATCGACTTATCGCACAACACATGGACATGACCTCAATAATTTTTTGGTGAAGCAATATATACCACCCATATATAAAAAAACTGTTCTAGCAACATTTTAGTTGATTGTGCAACATTGCTATCTCTATTAAAGGTGTCAGTGTCAGTATGGTTAAAAAAACACTCTTAATATGTACTATAAATTACCTGGGACCAGATATCACAGCCTGTTATTTTTACCTTTCACTTTTTGATTAAAATGTATTATTATTATTATATTATTATTATTAAAATGACTATAATTAAGTGAAATACTGTATTCTTAAGAATAAAATTTGCGCTCTTTTGGAAAGTGCGCTTGCATTGTGATGGTATTATATTTTCATTCTGGCATATAACGAATGGCATAAAATGGTCTTAAAATGATGATAATATTGTTTATCGCAATATATTTTGGTGCAATATATCATAAAACAAAAAATAGATATCGTGACAGGCCTAAGAATATATACAAACCTTGAATTTTTGCCTTGTTTCTAGTCCAAATATATTAATTTCAAAGTTAAAACAAGATTATTTTACTTATCCCACTGGCAGATCATTTTACTAGCTTTAAAGTAGGGTTAGGCGAGATGGCCTTTAAAAAAAAAAATCCAAGATTAAAAAAAAAAAAAACATTTATTATAATTATTTTTTTACCACACAAACAAAAAAAAGTAGGAAAAGCATTTATGTCATTAAATTTATTCATTTTCTAAACCCGAATACTGTTCAACTTCTCATACAAGTGTCAAATAGTGCTACTCAAACTATCTTATGAAACTGTATACCTATTTCAGAATATTTAGCTCAGAAAAATGAAACAATCGCAATATCAGATTTTTCTAATATTATACAGTCCTGTTTTAAACCATTATTTGTGTCTTTATTCTGCTGAAAAACAAAAGAGGATGTTTTGGAGAAAACAGAAAACCTGTAACCATCTATTGGAAGTCAATAGTTACCGGTTTCCAGCTTTCTTCAAAATATCTTCCTTTGTGTTCAACAGAAAAAAGAAACTCAAACATGTTTGAGAAGTGTGAGTAAAGGATGAGTGAAAATGCAAGCGAAGTACACAGAACTAATTTAAGATCAACACAAGGATGTGTGACACTAATTAATAATTTCTAAATGAGTACTAGTAAAAATAAACACCAAATGTTTAATGCTGCATTTGGAAGCTTCGAAACCAGCTGTTCCCTAAAATTATGGCATCTGTGAAGCTCATTTCTGGTACATGGCCAAAAATCTGGGTGTACAAATGATACTCACAATCATCATCAGCACCATCGGCCCCAGATAAATAATGAAAAAGAAGAAGGAGATCATGGCTAGAGTCAGGATGCCCCTCACCCACCAGTTCTTCCATCTGCAGGAGAGACAAGCACAGTAACGCAAAGCATATTGGTTGCAAATATAATCTTCCTAATGCGACGACTAAAAGCTTTTTTATTGAATGAATCATCTGATGTTTATACAACACTCTACTACTAATATGCTCTGGACTGGGGACGCTTTATTTGCTTTTATTAATATTAGATTACATGCAAATGTCTTATACTTTGCTTTACTGAAATGTAGGGTTACAATTTATTTCATGGTGTCCTTGTTTGTGTAACTATATGTTTAAAGGGATAGTTCATTAAAAAAATATACTTATCCACTATTTACTTTCCCTGGTATATAAGTGGTTATATTTTCTTTCTTCTATTGAAAACTAAAGCCAATACTTTTAAGAAAGTTGAAAACCTGTAATAACTCACTTACATAGTAGGAAAAACAACTACTGTGGAAGTCAATGGTTACAGGTTTCCAGCTTTCTTTAAAATATCTGTGCTTATGTTCAGCAGAAGAAAGAAACTCAAACAAGTTTAGAACAAGTGGAGGATGAGTAAATGACCAAATTTTCAGTTTTGAGGGAACCATTCCTTTAAGTTAGGGGTTTCCAAACTCTGTTCTGGAGGGCCGGCATTGTGCTGAGATTAGCTTCAACACACCTGCCAGGAAGTTTGTAGTATATATAGAAAGAGCTTGATTAGCTGGTTCAGATGTGTTTGATTAGGGTTGGAGCTAAACTCTCTAGGACACCGGCCCTCCAGGACCGAGTTTGGACACCCCTGCTTTATTATAATTACTACCTACTTTGGTATGTACAAGGATAACTAGGACATCACAAAATAAAGTGCTCCCAATAGTTATTTTGCTTAATGATTTAAAGATATGTACCGTGAAGAAAGGCCTGAGAGGGCTTTATTGAGAACCTCCGGTGTGTCATCGGCAGAAACAGGAACCTCTGGTTTCGTCTCACTGTCTGAAGCTCCATCTCTCTCCTTGCCCTCTGTCTCAGAGCCCTGTAGACAGTTAGAAAGAATAACATATAATAAATTGTAATTAATTCATGAAAAATAGTATCGGTTTACTTGCAAAGAAGTCTGCATATTTAAAATTTATAAGAAATGTTGTTTTTTCCCCATCGAGGATGCTTTTGTTGATCAAGTTAAATCTGTTAAAGAATCCAGAAAAATGCTTTTATGTTTAAATGTTTACAATAACAATAAAAGTTAAATCAAATGAGAACAATATAATGATTTGTGCTCCAGCTTTGTTTACTAAGGCTTGGTTGTGTTCATTGGTGCAAAGCAATGTGTGCTCATGCTTCATTTGTAAAATATAGCATATATATATATATATATATATATATATATATATATATATATATATATATATATATATATATATAAATGCGTTTTTTTTTAATATAACTTATTTGATTATATACAGCTACTCCGCTAACATGAAAACGTCTGTCATATTTCCTAGTTCCTCCAAAAGACTGCCATCAACAGGCTCTGATTGGTCAGCTAACATAATGTGCTGTGATTCGCGGATTGGCTTCATATCACCAGGAAGCATCATGCCTCTATTAGCACGCGTTTTGCCTCTGCTGTGTGTTAGCCATATCAGTTTGAGCTTGAATCAGATAGAAAATGGAAAGCACACAGCTGAACCTCACGCCTGCTCTCTAAAATAAAATCTGACAAGTGCCTTTCACATATATTCCGAATAAGCATGTGTGAGTAATATGAAACATTCTCATATATTAAGCGAGTTTGTTTTTTGAGATGTAGAACGCAGGAAAAGCGGCCGCATAGTGAGAAACTGAAAGCGGTCGCATAGAGAGACACTGCAGCGCTGGTAAAGATTGTGGGTGTTTACAGCTGTTTGACTGATAAATATGAATATGTAACTAAATCTGTAATGGTTCAAACAACATTTCCTGTTGTTTACATCCTTGTTTATGTCCTCGCTACAATAGAAAGTTAACGCTAGAAATTGTGCATGTAAGTAGATCAATTTTAACAAATAAAAATACCTTCTCAGCTATAACGGTTCAGCAACTTTGGCCACACCCATGCACGAGGTGTATGTGGGCAACCTGAAGGGTAAATGATCTCATTAGCCTGGATGTATTTTTTTGTAGTCCTCAAACTTCATTCGTTGTAGGCTTATTTTAAGCTAACTCTGTAAAAGCAAATGTCTCCTTTTGCATTGAACTTTGAAAGTGTTACACTCAGAGATGTTGTTTATGTTCACACATCTACATTACACATGAACTGCAGTTTAAAATATGATATCACAGTGGACCACCCCTTTAAAGAACATGGGACACTGATGACTGGAGAAAGAAGAGGACAATTCAAAGTTATAATCAAAGGAAAAATGAAAAAGTTTTACTGTATTTCTCATTAATAAAAACTGCATTCTCCTCTTCGAGACCTTATTTTTTCTGGATTCTCTGTTTTAACTCTTGTACATCCAATATAAAAAGCTGTGTATACCACATTTGTAAGTAAATGTGTGCAATTTAAAAAAATCCTTTGAGTACATTCCCTGCTATTTCAGACTAGTTCCCTGCATCTTATTTGACTGATTGACCACAGAAAATACATTTCAAATAATACAATGCTGAAACTGGACCTATATGCCAGCATCTGTATCCAAAAGAACTGCGTGTCTCAGTAACCTGTTGCACAATTACAAATGACCTGCCTTTGTCACCATAGCAACTGGCCATCATCATCAGATGGGGCTGCACCAGTTAGCCTAACAGTTCTGATTGTTCCAGAAACCTCTTTCTCTTGGTCTGACATAAACCATTAGGATCTGATTACGATGAGCGCCCTGAAGCTAATGTACATCTACTGCTGACACTCAACAGACAGCAGGAGCTCCGGAAGGATCCAGGGTTTCCATGGAGACGGACTACATCCTGGTATTCAAGATGTTAAAAATACCCCCCCCTTCCCTTCATTCTGCCCACCTCCTCCCCTGTCTCTTAAACGCCCTGCCTGCTACAAATAGCCCGTCAGGCACGAGGACAGCCCACGCTTGCTAATAGACACAGCTTCAGTATTCCTGCCAAACTCGGCCCTTGCTCGTCTCAGAGTATGAGCAACACTTCGACAAAACTGGTGAACAGCATTAGTCATTGTAAATGTGGAATTCCCTGACAACAAGACAACAGTGACAATATACAAAAGAGATAATGGGTATGAGTACTTGATAATTGTCATATTAATTTAAAAGGCCTAAAGTATCTGATGATTGGCCTGAGAGAGAAAGACGAACAAAACTGCTTCCATCATTCATATAAAGTTGTTGTTTAAGTCCATTGGGAGTTGAAGTGTATTTTCAATTTGGAGGGAAGGGAGGCAGGTACTAGGGATGTCTGATCAATCGGCTGGAGATCGATATCGGCCGATAATCATATTTAATGACTTGATCGGTACTCGCTGATTTGGCCGATCTCATGAACCGATCGCAAGTGTTTGTTAATTAGTTTACAAGCAGAGGAAGACACAAGTGCGCACCTGGGTTACACATATTGCAGCTACAACACAAGGAGGTAAATGATGCTTGGGGCCGTGAGCGATCGCTGCACTCATGTCACAGCAGGTAAAATATATATACAGATGTGGTGTTTACACAGTGTATAGGTGACTCGTAGGAGTGATAATCTCTGTTGCCAGTGCATCCATTGTATATCCAGTGAATTGAGCTGTTGTGACGCGAGCAAAGCGATCACCCCTATCTAGTGTTTTAACCATATGACCTCTCCCGGAAGCTCCCCGAGTCTCCTGCATTTTCATAGTGGCTCCGTGATCTCCAGTAGGGTTGGGCGGTGTCGACCAATTTGGCATCGTACAATGTCTAATGTGAAACACAGCGATGGACGATGGTATTGTCGTCGTAGGTGGTGGTGAATTAACTATTTGTGAATAATAAATGAACTCGTAATGAATTAATTATTTGTAGCCTGCTGTTTCAACTTCCTGATCTGCATGGTCTTTGTTTTACCCATAACCAAATCATAAATAAATAAAAAAAAGTTACACACAAATTACCACCTGTCAATCACTTTTTCCGTGGGACTCTGGCATGAATATGCAGAGTGATCATAATGGCGTCAACAAATTAGGTTGGTAAAAAAGGTGCCCAACCAACAGTATTTGAAGTTTTTACTAAAATTACTAAGTACAAGCGTGAAAGCGAAAGACTGAATCAGTGAACTGACGCTGTGAAACGTTACCTGATAGATTAAAAGAGTTGTTAAATAAGGACAAGATTAATTAAATATCATGTTTTAACACTTCAAACTTTTTCTTGATTGAAACACGTTTAATTCTTCTTTCATCATTTGCAATGTTTGCTAATTGCATTGTTAGTCATTTTTCTTTCCAATTTTATTTATTTTTTTGTCCTAGATATTATTATCTGCAAAGCTACTTCTGACCACGACATGTTCACAAGATCTAGGTTAGGCGAGATCTCCACTTAAGCATCATGGAGCATTAGAATATGTACTCCGTATCGGCCAATCACCATGACAAGGAATCGGTACTCGGTATCGGCTATAAGGATTCTGATCAGAGCATCCTTTGCACGTATAATTTGTAAGGGCTATAAGAAACTACTTCTACCAGTTTTAAGGATGTGCTAAATCTAAATGACATTACATTTACATTCAGTCATTAAGCAGATGTAAAAAGGTGTGACATCATTGCAAACTTAAACACTGTTCTTTGGCATTTGCATCATACTATAAATAGTGTAAGTAGTGCAACACTTTTCAGAAGAAGAGATGCACTTTAAATACCTAGATGATGCACTTTTCAACCAATAAAAGAACACTCTCCACAGTCACAGCTTTGCTCATGTAATGGAAGGAAAGAAGCTATCAGACTTTATTTATCTAGGATTGTGCAAGCTAAATTCTCCTACATAAAGGATTATGCCACCTCCCAAGGGGGGAAAGGTACTATGTAATTTAGGTACTTGGTAATTTATTTAACTAATTTGGAAAACAGTGCGAATTTGGGTTTCTAAAAAAAAAAAAAAAAAGTTAGCATTTTATTTGGGATGAAACTAAACTCAACCACTTCAGGGTTGAGTGTTTAAGTGCATAGTGTAGAAGTACACAGTGCATTTGGGTAATTTACGATGCAACTAGAGACAAATGAGGAGAACATTATGAAGTTACAATTAGGGCTTTGCAAAGTGAGAAAAAATTGCCTAGGCACAAATGCGACATACTGAAATACATCTCAGCATTCTGTACACTTTTATATATGGATTTTGAAAAGTAATTATTATTTTGTTTATATTTCATTATATAATTTTATTAATTTTCCTTAGGCTTAGTTCCTTTATTCATCAGGGGTTGCCAGAGCGAAATGAACCGCCAACTATTACAACATATGTTTTACACAGCAGATGCCTTTCCAGCCGCAACCTAGTACTAGGAAACTCTTTTACACTCATTCACACATACACTACGGCCAATTTAGTTCATCCTATTTACTATGTCTTCGGACTGAGGGGAAATCCAGGCCAACATAGGAAGAACATACAAACTCCTCATAAAAATGCCAACTGGCCCAACCGAGACTCGAACCAGTGACCTTTTTGCTGTGAGGTGACTGTGAAAACAACTGAGCCACCGTTTATTTTTATTTCCAGATTAAAGACTAGTGCATATAACCACATAGGCTATCGTACATATTATGACCAAAAAAAGGTTAAACAATCATGACACTGTAACGTAACATTACAATAGAAATACAACACCTTTAAAGAATGATTTAAATTCACTGTCTGACAATAAATATTATTGCAAAATGTGCATTAGGTAGTTAATTGTGCTTCACTTTCTAGGAATTCATGCACGCTGCAGCAGTTTACTGGAGTTTATGACGTTTAGCAGAAACTTGCAGACGGCTCATGTCCTCCTGTCACCTAAATGGAAATATTTTTATGACTTTGAAACATTTACAGATAGAGAGTGTACAGTTACTTAGGAAATCATCATATCTTAAACCAGCACAAGTAGCAAATCTGTCAGCTCAGCTTCACATTTATCAGTCAAAGGTAAACTGCTCGAACTGAATGTGTTATGAGTTATTTTAAAGCCCTTCATATAAAGCCTGACTCATGTTTAAGACATATTGGATTAAGCACTTTTTTCTGGAGCAACTCCCTCTCTGTACTCTAGTATTTTTCACATGCTCAAAATCAAACTATACCTAAGGTCTATAAAAATATATAGCGATACATAATACAAACTAGATACATCCTGCTCAGCTCTATAACATGACCCTATAATTCATAATACAGTTATGAAAACTAATATGTCTGAAAGGGTTTGGATTTTTTTATATCTATAAAATATGCAAATATTAAGGAACAGCAATAAGTATATTTTTACTCAACTTAATTTTTTGTATCTAAATGATGATTTTATTCCCTCTAAACAATGAATTCTGGCCCAGTTGTTTATCCATTTTTTGACTAATTTGAGAAATATAAGACCAGGATGTCTCGTGAATAATCTCAACTAAATTCCTGTATTACAGCACAAAATCAAATATATGCCACACAACCTCCCTAGACAAATATTTACATAAGAATGGAGCAAACTAAAAGAGCAAGGTGACTTTCAGTGGAACAGCGTCACAGTATGCAGCAAATTATTTAATATCCAGTAGAAGAATTTGAATAGACCAAACTTGAACTCCAAGGAACAAATTTGGGATGAATTGTAATGACAATAGAGAAGCTGTTATAGCCACAAATGAACTATTAATGCCTGTGGTTTTGAAATTAAACATTAAATCAAGCACATATGGAAGATGTGTCCACATTTGCAGTTTCCTTCAGCTAAAATCAACTGAGACAAAGTGAGGCATGCTTTCTTGGTTTCATTACAATTGCATAGTGTACTATAATTTAATAAACCCAGCAGGGCTCTCTTGCCTCTTGGATGAATTCTTACAATGCTCGAACTCTCACAGCAACACAAACACAAATCTGTTTAGTACCTTGGGAAAATCCAACTCAAAAAACCTTTGTATGCAAAATGGTGTGACCCAACACGATCTCATGGCAATTCGTAACTTTTTGATTCAGTGGCTAATTTGTATGAATTCGTATGATCTCATTCCTGCAATTCAGTACGATTTGCTCATCCCCCAATGATGACAGAACTTAAACAAATTTGTACGAATTAGCCACTAAACCGACAAAACGTATAATGATTACCTTTCCTCGTGAGATCAGGCTGTGTGACCACACAATTTTCATTCATTCATTCATTCATTTTCGTTTCGGATAAGTCCTTTTACTAACACGGGGAGAACATGCAAACTCCACACAGAAATGCCAACTGACCCCAAACAATTGTTTTTTTTTTTAAAATAAGAATTAGTTTTTTTAATGCCACCGACAAATGTGTCCACACAACAGAATCCAGTAATTCATGTATTTTTTGTTTTACAGGGTTTGTGTACCATAAGAGGGTTTATACTTATGCATCGAGTAATCGGCGTGACCCGTGGCGGCTGCCTTGTGCGTAGCATGCATTTATATTTCTGTGTGCTGTTTGTGTTGCTCTCCAGTAACACTAAACAACTGAAACGCTAGCTGGCAGTAGGTTTAAATGTTCCTCTGTGCAGAGTTTCTTCATTAATGTTTTAATTTTTTCTGAACGCAACCTTAATGTACAAGTAGCTAAAACTCACTCATTCAGAGCCAGGAACCGGCGGACATGCAATGACTTTAATTATAAGATAAACACAAAACAAAAGTTTCCGTTTGGAGCTCCTTTTCAGGACTCAACACTTGTGAGTCCTGAAAAGTGTGTGTCTGCGTCGCCATCAGCCACAGTGAAGCCGCCTTTCCACTACACATGACATTTAGACACGACTGTCGGAATATGCCGTCTTGTGGCAATCACACACACAGAATTTTCAGTTTTGTTGTGCACCATGGGAGAGAAGCTGTTCTAACAGAGTCCTAAATAAGAGTGCAAAACGAACCTTTATTCTCTGTGTGTTCACCATGGTTGAGTGAATGAATACTAGAAACTCATAGACCGCTAAAAATATTGGAGGGAATGTGGAGACAACATAATAAATTTTTTTTACTCATTTATGGATAGAAAAGTTTTTTTAAACAGACTTTTTCTGATTAAAAACAACAACAACAACAACAACTAATATTTGTCATCTCACATACACAGACCTGCTTGGACAACAATAAAATACATTACATCCAGTCAGCCGATCATATATGGTCTATTCTTAGGAGTTTCAACAGATCCACAGCTCAATTCGGATCCGAATTTTCCACATACGGAAATGATCTGAACTCCACGCAGCTCCCGGCCTACTCTCCATTGGAAATTAATGACTTCCGGTCTGTCGCTTGTCGTGTGCAGTGAAAAAGAGGCTTAAGGGCTATGCGACTGCACGCAGGCTGCACCGGAGCATATGCGTGTGCTTGACAAAGAAGTATAAATCAGCCTTAAGGGTGATTAAATAATATTTTTGGAGGAAACACCTCTTTAACAAAGTCAAAACTGATTACATTACATTAAAATTGAGAGAATCTAACATTGACATTAGCCTTAAAAAAAGATTCTGATTTGTAATTTCTAATTTTAAAAACTTAATCCACAATGATAGAAATTCTATTATACTCTGATATATTTTAGAATTTAGAAGGACTGCAAGCCTAGATAAGCACCAAAATGTAATGCAAACTTTCAAGTAAATTTAAAAAGAAAAAAGACAGACACTAGGCAGCAAAATACAATCCATTTGCCTGACCACTGAATCTGATATGCGAACGAAGGCAGCACAAGGAGAAATTTGCATGACCAAGTCATTTGAAAATTATTCTATTTATCATTGTACAAACTTACACTACACTAGCAAGGTAAAACTATGTTTAAAATATATATTTTAATAAAATTCTTTGATTTTTCATCTGCATGTTGGTTGCCCTAAAGATATAAGTGGTTGTTGTGCTTATTTCTCTATTTTAAAGTAAATTATAAAAGAAACATAACATACACATGGAAGATTTTTGCTGAGCCACACAAATCGAAATGACCAAGGAAATTCTCAGAAATTATTGACCATGGATATTGACATATACAGAAAACTGTACGCAAGTACTAAGAATTCCTAAGATTATAGTGCTTTATCACATCTGACTGATGAAATATATCCTGAAATATTCAATACACTAAAAAACAAATCTGTAAAGATTCCACAAATACAAAACATTAACTGATTATTACAAGCCACTCGGATGAGTCTTCAAGTATGTGAAGTCAAAAAGAGTATTTATACACTGTGATGTTGAAAGGTCTGAGCTCATGCCTACAGGTCAAGCACTCCTGACACATGAATGTTGACTCACCCATCTGCCCACATCTCTCCCATTCTCCATATTTTCAACCTTTAGATCCAGACAGTGTAAGGATCAGTCCATGTACTCCAGAAGCCCCCAAACTCTGCTGAAAGCACAGCTCACAGGGAAGAGTTTTAACCTCGCTGCCCTCAACAGTACTAGGATTGTTCATGCCATTTAACTTCATTTTAGCAACTGCAAGGAATACAGTGTTAGGGTTTGTTTTGCTGGGACATACGGGCAGGAAACCTTCAAGTATTTGAGCAGGACAGGAAGAACATCAGCTCGTGACTCATGATGATGCTCAGACTCTCAACATGAGCTCTAATCTGCTTTATTATCCTCTCATATAATACAATCACTCAGCAAACCAACGACTTAAACGCTTGTATTTTCCTGTCGTGCCGTGACATGACAACAGATTCATAAACATGACGATCTATATAACCGCTTGTGTCTTTCCATGTATGACAGCATGTAGCTCATATGAAAGCTATAACAACATACATCTCTGTGCCTCATTCTGAAACGTTACCTTATCCTCCGAGTGTTGATGCTTCAGCTCTTTATCCGTCGCTCCTCGCTGTCGTAATTCTGTCATGGTGGGCTCGGTTTGGTGAAAATAGAGGCCTGGCGAAGAAGCAATCTTTGGGGGGTTGCTGTTCGTTTTCAATGATTGTTATTGGGACGGGAAAGGGAGATCGAGACTGCGCATGCGTGCAGAGAGAACGAGAGCGAGTGAACGAGCGCCACCAGTGGTGAGTAGCGTCAAAACAGGCAGATAGATGAGGATAGATGAGGATTGTTAATGAAAAATGAGAAGGAAGATTGTGGACATTAATTAATTAGATATTTCGAGAAAAACGGCTGTTTTTCTAAAGTGGAAATTTAATTAAATCATTATTGTAATTTGTTTCATTATTATGCATTTATTCATCATCATCATGTACTTGTTAATTAAGCTAAATTCTTAGACTATTGCTATTATGCTATCATGAGCTCTCAATTTATAACAATTAAAAATTAAGCCTACAATAAGATTATAATTTTATATTAAATGATTTGACTGTCATTATTCAACCATGGTATTTTTATTGTAATAAATACTGACACATTGTATATACTGAGAGAGACAGAGAGAGAGGGAGAGAGAGAGAAAGAGATAACAGTTTACCTTAGTAGTGGGTTAAGATGCTTCCATTCAACTATTTTTAGCAAAAAATAAAATAAAATGAATTGTTTTCATTGTTATATTTAAAATATAACAACATATATTGAATAGATATACTAACATGCTATTGCTAATAACAAATCTTACAATTTAATCTGCACTTTCTTGAAAAATGTGAACTGATCCTAATATTAATTCCTTACATTTTATAAAGCGCTCCTATAAAAAAAAATCTCATCCACCACCATTGTGTAGGATCCATGTGCATGTGACGACAGCCATATTGCGCCAAACCGCACACCACACAGCAGCTGTTTGGTGGAAAGCAGACTAGGATGACATGGGGATGGTTAGAGGGCCATGATGGACAGAGGCCAGTGGGGAAATTCGGCCCTTACTCTTTTTTTTCTAAGGACTTCACTGAGCAGTATAGAGTCCCCATAGATATTTACATTGGATGTCCCATACGCTGTTGTTGTCTATTGGAAGGAATGCGTCAATAGAGCCGCCTTTTAAGTACAGGATAGCACTTCTTTGAAATGAATGTGAAATCAGGGTGCAGTGGAGGACTGGCCATCCAGAGCCAGAGATATATACACATATTTACATATAATCTATGATTGAGGGTTTCCGAGAGGGGTCAGGATACAGACCTGGTGCAGTGTAATCTGAGCTGCATCCAATGCTTTTTAATTGGCTCAGTTTACCCCACCCCTCAAAGTAATGCCACTAGCTCCATTAAAGTGCATTGTATCTGACATTGCATCGCTGAGTGATGCAATCTCAGCTTGCATCATAAAGACTGCATCCAGATACTATTACCCAGTGGTCAGTATATGCAATTTTTTTTAAATGACAAAATTTATCATTTTACATCCCTTTTCTGCATCGATGGATAAGTAACTGCACGGGCATTGCCGACAAAGAGCATGTGTTTGTGTGCATGGAAATGTATTTTAAGGATATATAAAAAAGGAAGCAATTCATTTGTGAATGAATTTCTGTTATGAACGGCTCATTCACTTAGCCGACAATAATACAAGTTTCTAGCACTGCAGCATATTGTTTTCATATTTCATTTACATTGCTAGCTAAATTTTATTCAACAAAATTAGCATACGCCTGATATTTAGTGCAAGTTGGTGCTACTTTGCCGTATGGTCAGTGCAGTAAGTGACCGTATTATCATCAATACTTATTTAGCACAAAAGTTTGTAACACAAAATTGTAAAAAACTAAATCTTACCAATGAAATGTTCAGCCTTCGCGCTTTGTTTTCTTTGTTTGCTCGTTACTAGACCCGTATACAGCGCAAAAGTCCAGCATCTTCACATTGGCTTTAGTCTTAGTGCAGTTGAATGACATTTGTCCTGGAAGAACTTAAATGTGGCAGTACTATTGACGCAAGCAATATCTAGTCTATATATCTATGTAGAGTCCCCATCAATACACTGGGGTGTTAGGACCCACAGAGACCACAGGTTGAGCCCCTCCTGCTGGTCTCACTAACACCATTTCCAGCATCAACTAGCTTTCCCATGAGGTCTCCCATCCAGGTACTGACCATACGCAGCCCTGCTTGGCTTTAGTGGGCAACCATGTGAGAGATCTAGAACTAGCTTCTGGCAAGTGTTGATGGGATGGTCCATTCAGAAATGGAGATTTGCTGTTCATTTACTCATTCTCAGGTCATTAGAGGTGAGTATTTTCAACAGAACATTAAAGAATATTTTTTAGCTGAAGACCGTGGTGATATGATGATACATTCTAGCAAGTATTGTTGAAAAATGGCACATCTTAAATGGTCTAAATTACAGCAGATTGGTCATTTAAGGGAAGCACCTCAAAGGGGTTTGTTTTTTTATTTATGTTAAACAGATGATTTTACAACAGTAATTGACTTTCAGTATTATATACATCTTCTTTTGTGATCAAAAGAATTTCATAAAAGTTTGAAACCACTTTGTGTAAGTAAATAGTAAGTAAATTGTCATTTTTAGGGTGAAATATCCCTTTAATGCCATTTAAAGCACCTCACGTGATCTAATGAAATTGGCCAAATCTTGGCCTCATCTTAAGTAAACTAAAATCATCTGGGCCTATAAAAGTTTTAACATTCAAACATTTAATTTCTGTTGATTTGAAATTGTTTTAAGCGTCAAATTGTTTGATTACGTGTACAGGGCGTTTCTGTTGACTTTCTCCTATACCAGTTACACATAAACAGATTAAACACCGCCATCTTCCGGACGTACATGTAAACATCATCCATATGATCCTACCTGCGTGTCTACGATTTAAGTAGCAAAATTTCAGGATTTCAGTCGCTCCTTTAAACATAAACAAAGTTACAAGCCACGAGCATCTTTTGTTTCTAACATATTAAAAAATGGCCTTTAAATATACTTCATTTAAACCTTTAAAAATAGGTCGTGGTGGCCGTAGGTGCAGGCCTTTTGAGTTAGACCAACTAAGCTTTTTGAAACATTTTTGAATAAAGTCATGTGCACCCACGAGATTACGGCTTTAGTCATATCAGTAGGCAGCAGCAGAGAAACATGAACAAAAATCACTGAGCGCATCATCTTTCATTTAATTTCACTTAAAAAAAAAAAAAAATCTTATAGTCAAAAGGTGGCTGAACTAAGCTTTGCAGTTACTGGAGCATAAGATAATACAGGCATGTGGATACCTGGAAAAAAAAAACAGACACAGATGTTTTCATGTAACAATGTGTTATTGCCTAATGCATGTGAAATTTCAGAGTTTAGATAAACAGATGTGAAATGTTTTATGTACATGTTTATTGAATAGAAAACAATTTTGTAGTGCAGTAACTTATGACATTAAGAAAGATCTCAATGTAAAGGACCAATTAATTTAAAAATAGACATTTCTATTTAAAACTGTAAATAAAATGCTCAGGTACAAATTAGTATATTTAACATGAGAATTAAATGATTAAACTACAGTAATTACAGCTGACAAAAGCAGAGTAGTTGATAAATGTTTCAAGTACCACTGGAAGAAACATTTCAGTTAATGAATGCAATTCTTAGTGCTTATCCACATTGTGTCTTCAAGCTTAAGTTTTCAAGTTCATTCTCTTCACAAACTGCCAATGCATTCATCCTCATTTCCGCATCAATAGTCTGTTTGAACGAAGACTTTCGGAGTTCAAAAGTGATTCAAAGAGTTTTTTTTAAAGCACATTAAGTCCTTCAGATCTACTCTGTTCTCCACAGAACATACTTCCACCAAAAATGTGGCATTCAGAGCAGTTTTGATGCTGTCTTTTTGCCTTGGTGTCTTGAAAATGTAACTATCAAGTCATTTTTAAACTTAATCCTCAAGACGATTTTTACAAAATGGTCGCCAATAATATTTTGATTTCTCAGTGAGAGCTGTCAATCCTTTTCCGTCTGTCTTTAGCACCAGTCAAACCTCTGTCCCACCATTCGGAAAAAGATTTGATTAGGTACTCGCAAGTAGCGGCAAAGCTTCTGGAAAGCCTCATTGCTAAGTGGAGCATGTGGCCTTCCTTTAGACTCATCCAGGCACTTGTCATGTCCTGCCGACAGCATACAATAAAAGCCCTTGGTGACATTAAAGTAGAAGTTGTCCGGCTTTATCTGAGGCGGAAGTTCCAAAAAAGTCTCTGCTTTCTGCAGCTCCGGGAATGGATTACGAATCAGTGCTTCTCCATCCACAATGTGTATCTGCTCTCGGGGGAAAAGCTCCAACCATCTGGCCAGGTGCTGGTAGTAAAAACTTCTCTGAAGGGCCTTGTATTTGGGGTTGATGTGTCCTTGTGAAAGCAGCAGCTCTTCCAGTGACTGGTATGGCTTGTTTTGCTGAATTCGGTTGTGGAGAACTTGCGTATAATCTGATACGAGCCTCTCTGCGGGGTCACGAATGATCAAAAGCAGTTTCACTGCTGGATTCATGGCCCAAATCCTCCTTGGGGCTGGTGGAGCTGTGAAGTAGCCAGGAGTCTTTTCCACTGTCAGCTGCCCAGGAAGGGTGATGGGCATCTGGGATCGATACCAATCCAGACCCTTCCGAAAGTTTTCATCCAGGTTGAAGTAATGGATCTCGGTCTTGGCGACTTCCACATCTGGATGGAGGTTGAGCATCTCCAGGAGGGCCCTGGTGCCTCCTTTGCGCACCCCGATGATGATGGCCCCTGGGAGACGTTGCAAAGTCGAAGCATTAGAAGGTCCAGAAGGTGTCGCTGAAGTCACTAAGTCCAAAGTGTCTTGTAGTTCATGTAGACAAACAAGCAGCTGCGCCTGGAGCAACAGCAGCAGGACCAAAGCCAGGAGAAGCGTCCACAGCATGGCGTCTGTCCAGTCAGGTCAAGGGCAGCTCACAATCCTACGCACGCAGCTGGAGATCACACACACACACCACAGCTGTCTGTTTGCGTCCTGAAATCGGCTTCTGAAACAGAAAGGAAATTAATTATTATGCAGAGAAAATAAATTGCAAGACCCACAGGAAGGTATTAATTATTCATGACATTAATCACAAGTTGAAAATCCCCAAAAAACATCAAGCGAATCATTGTCAGGCAAATTCGAGTTAGTAACATGACAAATGGAAACATATGGAAAAAGAAAAAACAGCAGGGCAGGGGTGTATTTCCTTGGTGTGATTTAATTAACGGAATTATTAAAACAGAGAGAGAAGATATGCATTAAACATTCATGAGCGGTAGTGCTTCAGAAATCTCTGTGGGTAAATGTACTCGTCCCAATCCCACTGCAGTCTCACTGCTCTCCTCTAGTGGACACTAATGGAACCACGCCTTAAAATAACCCACATTATGAGTCACAGTCATTCCAGTTGAGCTGCGTGAGTCACGCTGAGTTAATGGCTCAGTTCTGCAATAAAGGGTACATATTGGTACCCTTAATAGTATGTATTAGTACCAGAAGTACACATTATAGTACTTAAAGTGTACTAAAGTATAGTTTTAAAAAAGGTACTGCTCCAGTGACGGCTTTCATACCATTGTTTTCCATAGTAAACCTAAGACGAAAGATTGATTGGTAAACACTCGTACACTCAAAACTATTTTTTTTTTGTAACCCAGCATTTTTACAGTGTATGATTTTATTTATCAATGTATTTAAATGCAATGCAACTAAAATCTATCTATCTATCTATCTATCTATCTATCTATCTATCTATCTATCTATCTATCTATCTATCTATCTATCTATCTATCTATCTATCTATCTATCTATCTATCTATCTATCTATCTATCTATCTATCTATCTATCTATCTATCTATCTAAATACAGTAAATATTAATAAATCCAATCCTGAAAAATACCTACAAACAACATAGAACATACATTACATATGTTCACATACATATTCATTAAGCATATTTATTAATAATAAAAAGTTTTTCATTCTGAAAACTTTTTTTTTATGTTCAATCCACTTAAATTTGTAAAAAAAAAAAAAAAAAAGATTACAGTAACTAAATTGATTTGTGTTGGGACAACAAAGAAATTGTGTGGACCTCAGCATTTGTACAACATTCAACATTGTAAGATTTTATTTATCAATGTAATTTAATGCACTACAACTAAAATCCATCAATCAATCAATATATCAATCTATCCATCCATCCATTCATTCATACATCCATCCATCTAAATAAATAAATAAAGTGAATATTACCGTTTTTCTCAGTCACTTTGGTGCTTTTCTCACAACACTATTTACAGTGTACACTATTCGCACAACAGTCAATGCATTTCTCAAAACAATTACTAATTTGTGCACATCATAGTAGCAGTTTCTCATTCCTTCCAACAAATTGCAAATGCTCAAAAGCTCAAAAAATCAAATGCTTTCATACAACTCTCTGCTGTTTTACTCAGCTGCTTTGGCGCATTTCTCGCAACACTATTTACATTTGCACAACAGTTAATGCATTTCTCAAAACAATTAGTACAAACTGCAAAACCTAGATGAAAATCTGCAAAAGCGTGTCACTTTGTCAAAATGGATAGCCCATTCCTCAAAAGCAAGTATTGATGTCAATGAAAGTGTCAGTGTCATCAAGATGAAAACACCTGACACCATTGCTTATGAACACGATAGTCAAATGGATTTGACATGTTTTCATTTTGACAGTTTACTCTCTACATTTTTTCAGTGCAAAAAAAAAACGTCAGATTTTGGTGACACTTCCTGAAAATGCTCAAGACAGCACTATCTACTATTTGCACAGCCATTTGAAAACTAGAGTAAAGTTAGACATCACTGCATTTAGTGAGGTATCTGAGTACAAGACACTAAATATGTATGTTTCACATTTTTACTCTGTGCAATTCTAATTAATTCACAGCATTGTACAGAAGAACAAATACACCCTTATTGACAACAAACTTAACTTCTTTTGGGTAGAGCTGTGCAAAACCATAAACAATATTACAGTATATATAGAAACTGAACCTACAACATACACAGGTCTGTAAATCATTCATGAAATTCTTCAGTTTAGAAGACATTTTCAGGACAAAAGATTGAAAGATTTTTTATAATATTTTCTTGACAGATTTTGACAACTAGTTCAACATTTTAGTCTGTAATGACTCAAGTAATGAAATGAGGACTATTAGTTTTATATGGGATGACTATTCAGCATTCACAAGTTTATTTCATTTTGACTGACATGACATAGGTAAATGATAATGTTATAAAACAGCAGAGAGTTGTATGAAAGCAGTTGATGCATGTCCAAAAGCATTTGCAATTTGTTGGAAGGAATGAGAAACTGCTACTATGATGCACACAAATGACTAATTATAATCTATCTAAAGTCAATATCAATAAAGTGCCAAATGATTTAATTGAAATGTAATGTAATGTGTATTTATGTAGCGCATTTATCACGTATGGCCATACATCCAAAGCGCTTTATAATCATGAGGTGGGGCCTCTCCACACCACCACCAGTGTGCAGCATCCACTTGAAAGATGCGACGGCAGCCACAGGACAACGGCGTCAGTGCACACACCAGCTATTGGTGGGGTAGAGAGACAGTGATAGAGCAAATTATGTGGATGGGGATGATTGGGAGGCCATGATGGGTGAGAGCCAATGGAGGGAATTTGGCCAGGACAGCAGGGTTACATCATCTACTTTTTTATGAGAAGTGCCATAGGATTTTTAATGACCACAGATAACAAAATCGACAGATAACGTCGATTTAACATGTCCTCCGAAGGATTGACTTATAAATCAAGAGTCCAATATTATGAAACCTACAAACAACATAAAAAATTTCAATCAAAAATACATATTTATTTATTAAGCCTCTTTTATAATTGTTTTCTTGATTGCATTGATTCAGCTGTCAACTGAAATTCCACATTTTCAAAACAGTTAACACACAGGCCTAAACAGCAGCACTCATGGTCAAAATGACACATTTTGTTTGCAAAACGCACATACCGCGTCAAAACCTTTAAAATATGCAACAAAAGCTAGTTTTACCTTCAAACAACACAACTTGAAAACAAGTACATGAGCTCTTTCAATTAATCATTACACAATAGACAACAAAATACAGAACTCAGTGTGAATCAGTGCACCATTGCTTGCTATTGTAGCCTATTGCCAATGCCATTTGTTGTCTTTCTATTTGGGCTGTCACATTTGCCTTTTAGCAAAGAATTGGATCCAGAATAAGAAATGCTTTCATTAAATTTATTTTGAATTCATGACATTTTTCAAGCTGTGGCTGAAAACTGAAATACTGAAAAAAAAAAAAGACAAAAGTAATAAAATACTATAAATATTAGAGAGAACACATGTAAACCAATATACAGTCAAATCTGTTGGGAGTATAGGACATAGCCACTTTTGACCTTCTCCATCCATGCTGGCACAGAACAACACAGACCTCCCAATGTTTTTAATGTTTGCAGAATGATTGTTAATTGAAGATTTGTGTGAAGGAGTGTCAAACCGGTTCTTGAGTGAATTCATACTGATCTTGGTAGTGTCAAATGTTTAGGAATAGATGGTTTCTGTTTGGTTGCCGGCGAGGCAGTGGAGCAGTAGGTAGTACTGTCGCCTCACAGCAAGAAGGTCGCTGGGTCGCTGGTTCGAACCTCGCCTCAGTTGGCGTTTCTGTGTGGAGTTTGCATGTTCTCCCTGCCTTTGCGTGGGTTACCTCCGGGTGCTCCGGTTTCCCCCACAGTCCAAAGACATGCGGTACAGGTGAATTGGGTAGGCTAAATTGTCCGTAGTGTATGAGTGTGTGTGTGTGGATGTTTCCCAGAGATGGGTTGCGGCTGGAAGGGCATCCGCTGCGTAAAAACTTGCTGGATAAGTTGGCGGTTCATTCTGCTGTGGTGACCCCAGATTAATAAAGGGACTAAGCCGACAAGAAAATGAATGAATGAATGAATGAATGTTTGGTTGCCATAGCTAAAACAATGGAGTTTGGATTGCTTAACTGACATCTGTGTTAACTGTTTTGAAAAATGGTGGGGAAAATGTGTCAACCCAATGAAAAAGGGTTTATATATTTGCAAGACCTGTCTTCTGTTCTGCTGGGATAGTGATAATGAAATGAAACCTAGTTTCTTTAACCAGGTTAAAGCAAACAAACAAACCAAAAAAACCTGTAATAACCATTTTACAAAGGGGAAAATATAAGATGGTTAAAATGGCTAATTTTGACAAATTTTGACTATTTTTATTGACAGTTATCCTTATTATCTTATGAGAAATGGTTGTGAGATCTGATGTAGAAATACAAAGAGCACAGTTCCTCTATTTCACATGCATTTCACAGTATTACAGTTATTGCGAACCTCACATCGCATGTAAGATACAGTATAAAGAGTTCATTACGACGCTTCATTCTTCAGATGAATAAAAGTTGTTTATGATCTCAGTAGCCATGAAAACTGATGCAATACTTGCCTTGAACTACAAGGCCCCACTAAAGCAATTTAGAAAAATTCATATGAAAAAGCTATAAATTATAGATTTGGAAAAATATAGTTCAAAAAGAAAAACTATTCTGATATAATTTACTCACCTCACGTCTAAGTAAAATTAAAAAAATAGTTATTCGTACATGTACAATCTGTTCTTTTTTCATATGAAGTGAAAGTGGTGACCACAGCTGTCAAGCAAGATTTCAGTCTTCCTCAAACAAAGGCTTCAAAAGACTATTTTTATGACCTTTCCACAGTGCATTTTTTATTCTTTTGAATTCTTTTGACATCTGCCATTTCCATCCACTTTCCTTTTTTTATAAATAGGATTAAATAGGCACTACTTTTTTATTAAATAGCATATATGAGCTCTTGAAATAAGTTTGAAACAATGAAGATGAATAAATAATCACCATTTTTGAAAAGCAAGTGCAAATGACTGAGCTACAAGAATACGATAACC